AGAGGATTTTAGCTCGAGCCTTACCTATTACCGGCTCGAGAGGCTCAAGTAAATGCACATGCTGGAATGGCATGCCTTGGCCAGCCTTGCCGCAAGCTGCAGAATAAAAACGGTTTGGCAGACTTGCTTGTGACGTATCGTTTGCATCGGCCTCCACTCTGACAGTGGCTGCCTGCACTCCTCAGGTTCCCCTTTTCTGTACCGGCTTGCTGTTCAGCCTTTGTCACCAGACCTAGACGTGTTGGTTGGGAGGCCGAGATTGCACTTTCCCAACGCATTACTTGCCGTGCCGGTTTCAGATAGACACTTCGGTAATTGGGATAGGGCTCTCCCAAGATCAAACTGAGAGACCAACAGCTGTCCGAGGTGTTTCTCAAGAAGCGCCCTGGCCTTGGGGGAAGCATGTTGCCAGCCACCTTTGCTGTACGAAGAGCTGATAAGCTTGTGGTTCAGTGGCGCTAGTTCCTCACTAGATGCCCAGCCAAACTGGGCGCTTGATCCCGTGACTGGGCAAGGTGGGAGGCTTTGCAATGCTTTGGCGCCCAGATCTCCACTTCGGATTGTGGGCTGCTCGCCAAGTCCAGGCTGTGACGAAGACGGCGCCATCCGGGGCTGGTACGATCACAGGACGACCTCCTCTCAAAACATGCCAATGCAGCGGTGTCGATGCGGAGGTTGCGGGTGCAAACTTTGCGTGTAGCTACGGCATCCCCGACATGGGTGTGGGTCAAAATCAAACCACCAGGGGACCGCCTGTTTTTTGTCATGGGTTCCATTTACCAGGGTTCCATTTTGGGGTTGCCCGCCCTATCTTTGACCCCCCGCCTACATCACTTCCACCCAGCAGGACCGGCGAGCAGCTGTACTACAGGACGCGCACCATTTGCCTCGCTTGGCGCATGCTATGGCCCGATCCGACTCAGTCTCAAGCTGAGGCAACAATTGCTTCTGAACATGGGTACTGGTCTGTTTTTTTTTTGCCATGAGTTTGGTAAGACTCTGAGCCCTTGTGTGCTCCAAATGAATCTTGGTTGCCTGCCAGGACGCTGACCCTCGCAGATCTGAATCACTGGGTTATACAGCCAGCAGTGAACTCAGTCAGCGTGCGGTGATGCTGCGATGCTCGTGGAGGAAAGCATCAAGTGGAGATCACGTTTACAGGGCACATGTGTAAGACATTCTATCACTCTGTCTCAAATGATGTGTTGTTCAAGGTGTATGTATATTGAATCGAGGACTGCCCCCCCCTTTGCTTTTGAATTTCCTATGTAAGGTTCACTGGCGGGTGGTCCACCTTGAATATTGAAGTGACTATTGCACACTAGTCAAGCCGTACAAGTGCGGTGACTGAGGTTTGTTCGCGGCACCAATGCAGCCGCTGGCTGAGCAATGGCATGAACCAATGTCTCAGCCTGGGGCGACAACTCACCCACAAGGCCCACCGGCTCGGACTGCGTGGAATGTGTCCGAAGTTGGCTAAGTTGCCAGGCACCCTTGTGCAACAACATGGCTGACCAACAGGAAATTCGGGCCTGGCGATGCTGACCCCAAGCCTACAGGTGCTTCTTTCACACTCAAATCATCCAACCCGCCCAGGCTATGTTGAGGCCATTGCCCAGCAGGCGACGCGAGCTTTGTTTTGCTGAGCAGGGCAGGGTGGGGCAAACATCATAATTAGAAGGGCGAGTATGAGACATTGCCAGAAGAAGCGTTTCAGCAAGTTTGAGCAGAACGGAGAACGCCCTCTTCCGGCCGGCAAGATCCACAGTTCCAATGCAATGGCTGGCATGTTTGGAACAATAAGACACGAATCTCGTATTTCAAGCTGGTACTCGTTCATGTTCAACGCCACATGTGTGTCTCCCTGTTTCCTTTAGATGGATTTACGACCTAGCTTCATGATCAAGGTGCCGCTTTTGGCAGGACTACGCCCAACTACCTGCATGGTTCGCCGGAGCACTCGGGACGTGTGTCCTTGCTTGCCGGCGCACAGCATCCTCAGGCCGTACTTCATAGTACTTTTGTTTGAATCTTGGGCGGTCTTGGACCCATCAATCGCAGGTTTAGGTCACATGGGTGGCACGTGCATGGGATGAGCGGGTTATTGCCATTCTTAGTGTTTAGATTGGCACATGTTTGCACATGGGCTGTAGAACTTGACTGTAAGATTGGATCATGCTGGAAAAGCCAGATGTCAGTAAGGGTGAGCCAACAGAACGTGCTTACAGTGACGGGAAGACAAACGGCTCCCTGCGGTTGCCTGATGCCAAAGCAAGTCTATGGCATATGTCGTTATTTCCAAGATTCCAGTCACCTTCCTTCCCGGCTTTTGGGGCGCACACTGCTGATACCAAACATTGTGCTCCTGTGGCGGCCGATGCCGGCAACTCTCCGGCTGCTTCTTGCACTTAGCCCGGTGATGTTTAATTCGTCGCTGATAGAACTGCCACGTTGACATTGCTCGCCACCATCCCCAAGCCGCAATGTCACAAGAGATGCACAGGTACGTATGCGTCTAAAGGATTGACTCTTATCGCTTTCATGCTGGGATTTTAGAGAACAGGGCAGTGTAGTCCGAGAGGGGTCCTCTCAGCGACTTAGGTTGGTCACTCATGGGACGAGCCCGTGGTAGACTTCGTGAAACGGGCCATGAAGCACGGGACGCCACTCGGTGCAGCTTGGAAAATCGGCTGCCAAGGGTTCGCATTGTTTCCCTTTGACCCCTTGCAGAGTCGCTTGAAGCTGAGGATGGTCTATATCCTTGAGCATCATGCGTAGTTGATGGGTTCGCATTCCAAAAGGGTCTCCAATTTTGACATATCTGCAATCGGCACCCCGAGCGATCCCTGCTTTGTCCCCTGCACAGGCTGGGCGCGGGCGATGCTTTCTGGTGTCAAGCCTTTGCCCTGCGAGGCAGGCCATTTGTGCCGTGAGAGTTGGGGTCCTTCAAGGTTTCTTCATCCCTCAGGAAGGTTCTACGTTGGTTTTCAGGGAGGTATTGCGGTAGGTGCAATTGTAAGCGCTTAGCGTTGCCCACCTCGCCAGAATGCTTTCGGCTGGCTTTGAGGTACTGTGTTTTGGCTTGCCTTGAAGTGTTGTGCTTGTCTGAGTGAGTGAGTCGGCACCGAAATGCGCGAGCTGGTTTCCAAGGTAGAGGGTGGGTGGGTGCATGCTCGCGTTTCCACATGGCTTGAAGGGCTAGATAGAACGAGGGCCTTGGACCAGCCTGAGGGAATGTGAAGGAATTTGACCGGTTTCTAGGCGGAGTTGGGCCGGCTTCTATCAGTTTGTGTGGGGGTTTGCCCGGGGTTGGACCAGCTTTACAGGACTATGACTGGAATTTGGCCGGTTTCTTGGGGGGATGACCCGTTTCTAGAGCGATTGCCCGACTTGTTTAAGGAAGAGAAATGCGTGTGTTTACCCGGGCGGCCTGGCCTCAGGGGCTTTCTTCAGAGGGCTTGAAAAAAGGGGACGGACAAATTCTTTTGTGGCGTTGAAGAGGTCTGAAGGGGTCTGACCGCTTCCCGGCGCTCCTGGGGCCGAGGCGAATTTGCCCTTTACCGAGATAAGTTGCTGGTTCTTGAGTTTACATTGCTGCCTGTAGGCTTTGGATGGCATCCGTTCTGTGGGCTTTGTTGCCTTCGGCTTCTCACCCGTTTGGCTCCTTTAGCCGTTTAGCTGTTGCGTCGCGGTGGCGTTTGGGATTTGGGCAAGCTTTCTGCAGTGTTTTGGGCCCTGAGCCGTGCCAGCCCAGTGGCCTGTTGCAAACCAGCTGTTGCGGGCGATTGCTGCACGCCATCTCAGATTAAAAACGAGCGCTCGGGATGCCTTGCTCGACGTTTCGGACGTGCCGCAAGATTTGCGGCTTAGACTGAAAGGAGTGAAATCTATTAGTATTGTAGGGAGTTCTCCTCCTGACTAACCTTGATAAACATGACATGTGCGGAACGATGGCAGCTCCAAGACACATCCAGCCTCAGCGCGAGCGGTTGGGTCTCCCGCAGGCTCCGCGGGCGACTGCCAGATGCTGGCGGGGCCGGAGCCCAGCCGGGCTCTTGGCCAGGAGCCTCCTCATCTGCAACTTGAGAGGCTTCAGCAAACTTGGGACTATTGCAGAAGGTGTGCCCTCTGTTTCGGACAGAACTCAGTGCCCAGTCGGTGGAACCTGGGGCATTGGATGTATGATCCCTTAGGCGTGGAACCGCTGCGCCTCTTGCGCTACCTCCGTGCCGGAAGCCCAGCAAGGCCGCCGCTGGCAGATGCAGCGCGGCATCGCTGCCTAGCTCAGCAGCTTCCCTGTATGGCATTTGCATTGGCCATGTTCTTCACTTCAGACAAGCAGTGAGCGCAACTTTGAGTCCTCAGGCGTTGAACACGTGCAGAAATTGTGCGGATGCCATGTCGGTGAGTAAGAGCAAGCTCGAATTGATCAAAGGCATGTCTGCGAAAAGAGATGGGTGTGTCTGTTGTCGCAAAGCTAAGGTCACTGTTACGTCTTGCACGCGGGCGACTTTGGATGAGGTGTGCCAAGGCGCTGGCAACACCTTTTGGCCCATTGCTTTGACTTTGAGAGGCTACTCTGAGCACACAGAAGTCGCTTGTTTGCGTTTGCTCGAGGTTTTCAAGGCTCAAGGACGGGGCAGAAAGTCCATCAGCCCCCGTGTCACACGCATTGACTTCCCCAAGTGCGTTTGTAGTTGTCATTTCGTCCTTGGAGCGAATCAATGCGCAGTGGCCGTGTGGCCTGGATCCCAAGTGACCTCATGCCAAGTGACAAAGTGAGACCTGCCACTTTGTCACTTTGTCACCCTGGTCCTTGTTCCAGACCCAGAAGGATGCCGAATCCCAGCAGTCGTTCGGGGTTGGCCAGCAAGCCGCGAGACTGCCAACTAAATACTTACATGAGAATGGGGTTGTGCGGCACCTTGCTTGTGGGCCCCATGGCCACGCAGTGGCCCTCTCGGCCAGTGTGCCATGCGCCGCACGCTGCCGCTCCACCCATGTGTTGGGATGCGCCCAGCTTTAGGACTCGTGCAAGGCGTGCCCGGGTGGAGATTTGTCGCCAGGATGCTAAACGTATTGCTCTCGCCCAGGGGATGGAGCTTGCTAGACTCTGCCTAGCAGACTCCCTGGCTGGTACTCCCAGAAAGGATCTTCAAGGGGATGTGAGAACTGGCTTGTTACGCTGACTTTTGTGCGTTTGCAAGATCGACGGCTTGCATGAACATGCGTGAAGCACGAAACACTGATTCATCTCTGATCATAACCATAGATTCCATAGATATGGCATTTCTCAAGGTGTCACAGGACAGATCCTGGGGTCCTTCCACAGCTTTCAATTAAGGTCACTAAATCACGGACAGCATGGACAGATTGATATGCACAGTGAGGGTCGCCTTGCTTTGGCTAGCAGTTGATTGCACATTGTTTGATTAGAAACTCTCGGACTTTTCAGACAATAGTCTGAGAAGTTTGACCACTCGTTCTTGCATTTGTGAGGTGAATCTTGCAAGATATGCATCGATGTGCGTTGCTATGTTGCCCTCCCAGATGTCCACCAAGGCCAGATCAGAAGAAATTGAAGCTGCTTGGAGATTGCATCCAAGATGCTGTCAAACTTAGCAGCAAGGGACGGTGGTAGCCCTGGAGTCTGCTTCAGTTTGTTCAGCAAGACATTGGATTCAATTTCTTCAACGAAGGAATATACTTTCATAAGTTCGGCATACCTTGGCAAGCCAAATAGTCAGTCAACACCTGTCTACACAACAAAGTCGCAAGTATATTTGTGCGCATTAGTTGCGCAATGGTGTCATATGCCGCCATGGCCCAAGATCTCCACTGGAGGCGGAGGGTTTTCTTCGGGAGGCAAGCTTGACGAAGATCGACGAGCGAGCCATGGATTGTCCCATTTGCATGAACCACTTCACCGGAACCTCCGGATTTCATGTCCCCAAGGTCTTTTCTTGCGGCCACAGCATTTGCGAAGGTTGTCTCCGAGCGCTTCCTGGTGACACCGTGGAATGTCCACTTTGCCGCGCGGTCACAGCGGTCGCAGAGATTTCCACCAACTACGCCCTTTGCTCGGCCCTGGAGGCCGCTGCGGGGGTATCAGCGCCGAAAACACCTCCAAGTCCTTCCATTCTGAAGCCTCCTCAACAGGACATGGCAGAAGTTCCTCGTTTGAAGTGTGTGCTTTTTTTGTTTAATTCAATCATGTGTCTTCAGTGCTTTTTGTTTCGGGACTCTGATGCATGCTGATGTTGTGAGATGTTTGCGTGGTTTGTTCCATGTATTGCCCGTGTTATTCTGACGATCATTGGCTGTGAAGTGAACGTGCTGCAGAAAGCATTGTAATTCTGATGAAGACAGGCCTGTTCCAGCATGCATGACCACGCCTAGAACTGGTTTTCAGCCTGTATTGACATCATATGAGCGCTATTTGGTGACTACACAGGCTGTGTGGGGTAATTTTGCTGGGTTGGCACCGAGGAACCCTTGCAAGGGCTGACGCAGCCTCTGCTGGAAAGCATGGCACCTTCAGCTCCTCCATTGCAACCTTGGGAAATCGGGCCACAGAACATGTACAGCGACAGCCCTGAAGCTTATACCTTTGGACGTGAGTTTCAAGCAGATTTGAATTTGGGGAATGTGTCAGATGGATCCTTTTTGAAGGATAGAGAACGAGTTCTGCGGGAGTGGGGCAGGAGACGCGAGCAAAGACTTCATCGGAAGCCAACCTATTTGATGGATCAGATGGTCAGTGGATCTGGACTTTATCCACCCAGGTTGCTGGATGACACATGGTTCACAGCCGCAGAACATGACAAGATGAACCGACTTGAACAGATGTTAAGTGGCACTGGCCATGCCCACACCTTGTCCCGAGATATCATGACACCTTTGATCTACGAAACACAGGTTGCAATTGTGTTGGATGACAGCGGATCTATGAACTTGGACATGTTTGGCCAATGTATTCGACACTACGGAGATATTTCTGCCACATCTGATGTGAATCCATATCTTCTTGGCACGACCTTACGAAGGTCTTTGCCAGGAGGATGGTTCAGCGGCGCTCGAAATCTGAGACCTGCAGAGTGTCCACTGAGTCCAAATCACAGCCGTTGGTTTTTCGCCCGGCATCACCTCCAGAGTTGGCGACAGGTTTTCGGTGTCCTTGGCTTGGACCCCTGGCTCTATGTGTTAAATGGACTCGGAAGGAGTCCAAATCGCAGCTGTCTTTCTCAGATGGACTCCATCTTTGCGGATCGACCCAGTGGATCAACTCCTATGAGCCGAAGGTTGCGAGATGTCTTGCGTGACCTTGCTCCGTCTGGGCATGGCAAGTTGCTAATTCTGGTTCTGACGGATGGAGAGGCTGACGATATGCAGGACTTCAATCGCGTCTTGGATGAAATTCAGAACCTGAAGTACGGAGAAGTTCAGGTATGTTTGATGGGATTGTCTCTCGTCAAGGAAGACATTGAGTGGTTCGAAAATGAGGAGTGTGATGAAACTCGAATCCGCACAATTGAGCCCTTTGAGGTTGAAAATCGACAAATTCAATTGAGGGAGGTGACTAGACGCGAAGGAGGCTACACATTTGATATGCATGTCATGAGGGCACTGGTTACGAATTACTACCCCGCGGACTATGACTATGAGGCCCCTCTCCAGAACTTTTTCCATCGCCTGTACATCACCATGCACGGCCGAGACAGGTGGTGGGGTATGCAGAATCCTTTGTGGTACTGTGCTTGCACCAACGGCGTATGTCCTTTGTGCTTTTTGGCAACCGGCTGCCACTGCTGCGGCTGGCTGCAGGGCAATGATTGTGGAAAGTTTCAGACCCCGGACTGTTTGAAATCTGAGTGAGATGGCACATGTGAAAGTACTTATGAAAGGCAGACAATGACAGTTACTGCTTCGATCGCAGTCCTTTCAGAACGAAAGACCGAACTCGCAAAATAGAGCGCGGAATTTGTGTTGTTTGGGAATTTCTTGCATCTACTTGTCCTGCGTGGCCTTTAATTTAGCCTTGGCATCGACGGGATTTATAGCGTTCCTTCTCACATGTCATTAACAGCCAAGTATTAACTAGGATTGATATTTTGAGGTGTTTAGGTCTGTTGTTTGTCTGCCGGCTTGCTTGCTTGGCTTGGCTTTGCTTGGCTTGATTGTGTGTTGCTTGCCTGCCTGCCTGCCTGCCTGCCTGCCTGCCTGCCTGCTTGCTTGGTTGCTTGCTTGCTTGTTTTTGGCTGGGCTGGGCTGGGCTGGGCTGGGCTGGGCTGGGCTGGGCTGGGCTGGGCTGCTGGCTGGGGCTGGCTGGCTGGCTGGCTGGCTGGCTGGCTGGCTGGCTGGCTGGCTGGCTGGCTGGCTGGCTGGCTGGCTGGCTGGCTGGCTGGCTGGCTGGCTGGCTGGCTGGCTGGCTGGCTGGCTGGCTGGCTGGCTGGTTGGTTGGTTGGTTGGTTGGTTGGTTGGTTGGTTGGTTGGTTGGTTGGTTTTTTGTTTGCATGTTGTTTTTGTTTGTTGAACCAGGGCTGAACAAAGCCAGGCTAGCAAACAACAACACAGCGTGCTCTCAGTTGCAACATCTTTATGACACGGTCGGGAGTGCTATTCCAGATGTCAATGAACGAAGGGCCTATTACGAATCGTTGGGCCTTTATCCTTACACGCGCCTTCTGCAAGGCCTCTCCATAGGGCCGCAGCTGCTGCCTGCGCTGGGCGCTGCCTGCTGTGGTGGAGCAGAGGGTGCGCCGGGACTTTTGGGGTCCAATGCTGTGGAACATGGCCATGTGGCAGAGCTGAAATCATGGGGGCGCTATGATATGTGTCTGGCTGGCGTCGGGGCGCACAATGCAGTCAATGCACGCCAAAGACAAACACTTTTGCCCGGTCATGGGCATGTCACGCTGGTTTGGCATTTCGATACTCAAGCAAACTCATTTTTGAAAGAGCGGAAAGAAAGCATTTGGCTCTTTCTGCCCACTAGTGATGTCGCACAAGGTCAAGATTGCAAGCCATGATCTACGCATGTAACGCTCTCCCATGTATTGACGCAGATGTTGCGCTGCTTAAGGTGCCTTTTTGGAGAAATGGCACCTGCCCATACCAGGCCAGAGGCGATTTCTTCAAGCATGAAGGTCTTTACCACGGAACGAGGAGGTAAATACAAATGGGAGGACCACCCCTTTGAGCAAGCAGGTAGCACGTGATATGGCTGCAAAGCAGCACCCTGCCCCCGCTGCTGCCTTCCATGCTTACGATTGCAGCCTGCTCGTCACATCGCCTTGGGCTGTTCTGCCAGCGCACTCCAATCAAGATAATCAAGAGACACTCCCAGTTGTCTTTTAGATTCTTTACATTACTTCTGTTTTTAGAGCATGCTCAGATGTCAATTGTTTCTCAAGTGGGTAATTCTGTAGCACCAACAGGCTTGATATGCCGCTGCCCCGACAAGGCGCTTTGCAAAAGGCCGGCGCTGGGTGTTGAGGGCGGAAGCTCCATCGGCCGCGTGGACGGCGAGCACCTTGACAGGAAATGGCATGGAGGGCAGGACTTGGAGTCGGACCTCTCGCTGGTTTTTGCGAAGGTGCGCAAGATATTTCTTGCGGAGCTGAATTCCCAACCCTGGCTCACCTCACCCCCGAAGTCTTCGAATCATGATTTCTTGAGTTGACCAGGAAATGGCCAAATCACATTTGGTTTGCCGCGCCCCCGGCCTTGCAGCCAAGGCTGTGGCAGAGCTGGGGCCAACCATCCTCAGTGTGATAGGCTTAAGTTCCAGGCTCCATCAGCGTTCTGGAAAGGTAAATGGGCAGAGTGTTTTTGGCGTTCCATTCATTTAGTATTCGGGTGGAACTTGTTTCGTGCCGCAGAGGCTCCGCAATTTCATTTTTTTCTTTTTTGGGGGGTGGGCGGAGAAGTATGAAGTCCATTGAGTAGCTCGTGAACATGTGGAACAGGCGGTCACGCAGGCACCCTTCCACGCGGTTTGCACACCGGCGAGCAAGTTTATCAAGCGCAGTGTTGCTTCTGTACAAAGAGCAGTCAAGCTATATATTCGCCGAGGCGGAGATGCAGCCGACATTCTTGGAGACGGGAGTGTCATCAAAAGCATCATCGAGGAGGGTGAGGACCCCCCAGCACCATGGCCGCCTGAGAGCCGCCTCGTGTCCCCCTTGATGCGAAATGCATTTCGATCGGAATCAAGCCTGGTCCTGACCATGTCCCAAAAATTCGGCGTGTCAATTAAGTTTATGAGTTTATACCGTTTATACCTGTGTGTGTGTGTGCATCGGTAGCTGGCTGCCATAGATTTTCAGCTGCGTGTGAGCACCCTGCCGAGCTGCGAGGTTTACCCCGTGTGCGGGGATGAGTGCATCACGCACTTTATCGGCACCCTGCCGGATGGCACGGTTTTCAATGACACCACCAAGCGAGATCAGCCCTTTAAGTTCGCCCTGGGTGCAGAGCAAGTGCTTGAAGGACCCTTGCTTTCTCGGCCTTTGCAGCCTTTTTTTGTTTGGCCTGCCGCGTCAGGATTTGATGAGGGCGTGGCAACTATGCGGAAGGGCGAGCGCCGACGGCATGCTTGGAATAGCCGAGAATAGCCACGTGTTGGCATGGCTCTCAGTGAGGTTGGCATCACTTGCAATTGGGCTTGCTTGATCAAGCTGGGATACATCATAAGCTTCAGCTCCACGTGGACAAACAGTCACCACTCCAAGCACAGATGATGAACTGCCAAAATTGCGTGGTAGATCTGCCTGCGGGTCAATCCGGCCTTTGTCCATTTTACCTCTACAGCCAGATTTGCTCTCCAGGCGAGCGCTGCTGAAGCTCACCCCCGAGGTGGCGTATGGTTCCTTGGGTGCTCGGGATGAGCGTGGCTGGCAGGCCAGGTCCTTGTGGAATTGCAGGGTGAGGGCTGGTACTTGGGTTGGCAGCACAAAGTAGGGGGTCACTGCCACGCCTTGGCATCTCTTCAAGAACCATTTGCCAGCAACACACGTGTCGATACGCCGTGACAAGAAGATTCTTGCTTGGCCCAACTGGATGCAAGTAAGACATGTGCATCCCTGCCTCCAAGGTGCATGACAAGCTACTGTAGCATTTGTCTTTGTGCATTGTCTGGACGTTTTTCGGCCATACTGTGGGCCATACTAGTTCAGTGAGGCGTTATTATGTTTGGTCTTGATTTGAGCCTCTTTTTGCCTCATGTACCCATGAGCCAAGCGGCAAACCTCGCACGGCCACGCGCCTCCACGCCACGCAGGTCCCCCCAGACACGGCGGTAACCTTTGACGTGAGACTGCTGGACATCAAGGCACCGGGGTTGAGTTCGGCATCGGGACAGCTGGAGTAGGTTTTGGCTATAGAAAGATGAGGCTGAGCATGCTCGGAGTAAATAGTTGTGTTGTTGGGTGTAATAGTAAGCGGCCAAAACCATGAAAGATGACGATTGCCATCTATTTGCTGGGTACAGGAGAAGCGCATATGACCCAGTTGAGCAGCGACTTCTTTATACGTGCTCGTGTAGAAATTGGGGGGGTACTCCACGTATGCTGCGGAGGCAAATCTGGTGGGGCGAAGAATGGTGGGGAGAAGAATTGCGATAAAAAACCTGCATAGACAATCATAGACAGGTTTGCTTAAGCTATCTTAGGGTTCGGCGACCCAATTTTTGCAGCAAACCCTTTGCCAAGAAGGAAATGCTGTGGTGGTTTCGCCTCATGCGCCGATTCATGTTCATGTGCGACTTACTTCATCCTCGCCTAGGCACTTGCCGCAGCGTAGGCTTGCGTAGACACCCTTCCATGAGTTTGCACACCCATGGAGGCATTGCGAAGGCATGGGTTCCAGGGTGTAGGCCGGATACACCAAATATGCCCTTCTCGCTTGCCCAACTTGAGGCTCGCGTTCAACTTGAAAGATGATTCGAGTTCCTGCTTTGAGTTGTGTTTTCCGCGTTGCTGATAGGACTTTGTTGCTACGTTGATTGCACACAACACCCTTTGGTGAGGTTTCATATTGGCGAAATCAGGTGAGCCGGCCGGCAGGATATGTGCCAGGCGCTGTTTGTTACACATACTGATGAATTGCGGGAGAAGTAAAACTGTTCTGCAGTGCTGATGGTTCGTTCGACTGGTAGAACCCTGATTGCTTGGCTGGCTTTGTTGGGCGAACCAACTTGTTTGCCTCGGGGTGGGCCAGGCAGGCGGATACGGCCGGGAGGATATTGGACCTGGCGGCAAGGGCGAGAGGTACAGCTGGGAGCGTGATTTGGCTGAAGGTCAGGGGAGAAGTTTGGTGCCGCTGTGCTGTAGATGTATAGCGCTTGTTATCCGGTGAGGGGAGCCCCTTGCAAGTAGGCGTTGTTTGAGGCGGAACTCGGCAGATGGGCAACGGTATTACTGTGCTCCAGTCGCCCTATGCCCAGGTAAGGGTGCTGAAGTTCTTGTCACGGTGCCCGTCAAGGTGCCTCGGCAAGAAGAAGCTCCCTAAAACAGCCCGCTTTCATGCAACGCAGCTCGGAGGCTGGAAGAGGGGTTTCTTTTGAAAGCTAGCTGTGCTGGCAGCAGCTGACCAACTGCCACGCCATAGAACCCTACAACAAGTTCCCAATATGAAGATATAGCTGCTCTCTTCCTGGACTCAACTTGTCCCAGCGAAACTAACATAAACAACGGCAAAGCAACCCCCGTCAAGGGCACCCTGAAAGGAATTGTAGGCAAATTGCATTTAAATATGCATTGTCAGGTGCCCCCGGGTGTCAAGAATGCAACAAACCTATTTGGCTAGACTGCGCATTTAAAGTATGAGGGAGAGAGCGGCTGTCGTGACATACCAAAGAGCCATTGGTATTCTGGGGAAGGGTTTGCATGTTCTTATTGGAGCTTGTTGGTGTATGCACGTGTTGGGAGGAATGACTTATGCGGACTTTTGCAAGTATTACCACGCACGTGAGGTCAGGGAGGGCCTCGTGAATTGGGCTTTTGTGCTTTGCTTGAACCAGTGCCAACGGAACACATGCATAAGCAGCGAACTCCTCAATAAATGCTAGAGCAGGCATGGAATGACCTGGGGCCTGCATGAGCTGCATCGCTGCATGGCGAGCGGAAGTTTGGGACACGCACCTTCCAAGGTGGAGGTGCAGGCCAAAGACATTGCCTATGCCTTTCAGGAAAAGCGCATTTTCCTGGCAGTGGAAGGGGAGCCTCGGCTGATGCAACGTGCCCCATGTTGGCCTGTGTGTGTGTGTGTGTGGCTGCGTGTGTCAATGAAAGTGCAGGGCCCCTTCAGTTTATTCACGTTAGACCAATGCCCTCCCGCATCAAGGAACCTGCCACATGAAAATGAAAGGTCAAATCAATGCGGAAGGAGCTCATGCTCACAGCAACTAGCTCATTCCCCTGCTTTGTTGCTGTTGATGCTTAGCAGCGGCCGCTGTTGGGGGGGGGGGGGGGGTGAGGGTGCGATTCGACACAACATGTGTTTCATCAGCTGCTTCTGTTTTCTTAAATCAAATCAAGCCGCAAATAGGCATGACGCCTTAAGTCGTTGAGCCGTTTGACGCATTTCTCGTGTCAGTTCCCGTCATAGGTGTGTGTTTGCCCATCTAGAAAAGAATGCACCCGCACTCCATCACACTTGTGTGCCAGGGCTAAACAGCTTGCTCATTTCGCGTGTACAGTTCTTGCCAACCCTGTCAACGGAATTGAGATTGTGACTCTAAGGGATCTCCCTGAACTGAGTATGTCGCAACCTTGTCGTGGAAATTGAGACGGCTGGGTACGGCCCAATTGCTCCCTTTCCTCAAGTCGGCAACGCCGGTTCGCGGATGTCGGACAGAAGGCGCTGCTCTGAGGACACGATTTTTGAAGGCGTCCCTGGCTGCGATGTCGAGGCAGAGGAAAGCTTCTGGGAGTTGGGCAAGGAGGAATCTGGTGAAAGATGTATTTTCGTCCACCTGCAGAAGCGACTCGGAAAGATGCCAGGCAAAGCAACTGAGATAGTGGGGTCGATCCTGATGTCAGAGCTTCACCACGGGACTCCCGCGCATCATGTTGCTCTGTTAAACTGGGTGCCGGGGGTAACCCATGTTGACGTCACAGGCATTCCCGCGCATGGATGTTGCACGGTCGCTCAGATCGCATGTCATGGGGTTTTGGCGAGTCTGAACTGAGGAAGGGCTCCTTGAGCGCGCGGTGGTCGCTACTCTGCAGCTTATGGGGTTTACGCAGATGTCAGGGAGAGCTGTGCAATAAACACCTAGATATATATATATATATTATATATATATATATATATGTATACAGGTACAACTCTAGAGATACATATATGCTACAAAGGCCCGCCATGAACCTTTGTTTGGGTCAGTTTCACAGCAGGCGCTGCAGACCTTTAAGACTCGAATTTGACAGCTGTTTAAAGTAAAACCCAGTTCAATTTATTCCATGCCCATTCCAATCAAACATTTTGCATCAACTGCGCACTGCAAACGTATTAAGCAAAGTACACTTTAGCAGCTACAACATGCCTGCAATAGCTCTGTCATTTGTATTTGTCTTATTGTTTTGCGGGAAGGTCAGCAAGTGCGACTTGAAATTGAGGTCCAAGTCAATTCTAAGTGTGCTACGTGGCCTTGTGCAGTTCTGGTGAATTATTATACATCCTAATTCAAATCTATGAGAAGTAAATTTGGAAAGATGATCCTATCTAAATTGTTTCTTGCGATTTAAGCCTTGGGGGGGGGCAAGTTTATGGCGGTGGTACCAACATGTATTTATGCACGCGGTACTCAATTGACAGTGACTGCCATTCTTGGGCGCAACCTTTGGGCGTCATGAGTGGGCTCGTGTCAACGCTTTCCATGTTTGCTGAGGCCCGACTTTCTGCTGAAGGGGAACTGAGATGACTGCCAGATTGGCGAGATAGCGGGCAACCCAAAATTGTCACTCCGCGGCCGCTGATGCAAAGCCCTTGTTTTGAAAGGATACTGCAATCTTGGATTCTATGTTGCATGATTGTTGCATGCGTGGTTCGGAGCAGACCATGAACAACGGGAAGGCCAAAGGCCAAAGGCCAAAGCTCTTTGCCAAGCCAAAGCAGAAGCAGGGGCTTGTAAGGTGTTCTGGGTCGAGACTCTTTCGTATGTGCGCTACTCGTGTCCTGTCGGGCAACAGGACTTGACCTTTTGGTCGTGCAACATATACCTGTATATTTAGAGGGTGCGAGCCAATTTTTTGGTGGTGCATAAAAATTGGTGGTGCATAAAAATGACGCTTTGACAATGCCGAGTCCATCATGGTCCATCTAATTAGGGTGTTTGTGCGTCACATGCGTTTAGTCCCGGAAAACGCATTGCTGCTAGGACGAGAATTCCAGTTCCATAATTCCAGCTCCATACGTCCCATTGCTGATGCTGATGAGCGCAAGGGCGCACCTGAGCCCTGCTGATGTACTGGCAATCTCATGGCTACACGTCAACTAGGCTGCGCCTTTGGTCACTCCGCCGGCCCAAAGAGCACCTCGGATTGTTGTCCAGGCCTTCCTGGCGCCCTCAGCTTCTTGGAGGTCCATGTGCCGGGATTCCTCAGATGGAAGGGGGAGGCATGTGGCTTCAGACTGTTCAGAACGCGCATCAGTTCAGGTAAAACAAATCGTCGCGATATGAGCTGCATGTGTTGCTCCCTATCTTGGCCGTCTTGCAGGTACACTTCTGGTGGAATCCCTTAAAGTATGCCTAAGGAAGCCGGAGGGCGGTGAAGCTAATGTGGAAGCACGAGGGGAACACACACACACAACCAGGTCCTTGAGGTTGTTCTGAAACCTCCCATCCTGGGCAGATGCATCATGCTATACAGTATCCACACGCATGATGAGGCTTGGCAGTATTATGTGGAGCATGGGTTCAATCAACCATTTCTGGCCGGCCAGCTAGGAGACACACACACACACACTCACACTTGCTCTTACCACAATCTTAAACTTGGCATTTGGATGTGTCTGACACGGATTTAATAGGTCTGTTCAAAGGGACCTGGCCTTCAAGTAACCTTGTCCGAGATTCCGTGTCAGCTGACGGCTTGTCAGGCTATAGGTTGTCATGTGAATGCGTGGTTTTTGTGAAAGAGTGCATCTTAATGGATGTTGGCCATACCCCTGATCCATTTGGGTCCTGCAGTTCAGTGAGGTGACACTTGTGTCGACCCCCTGCTTTGCAATTGTTGGCCTAGCATGCGTAAAGCAGCATTCCAACCACTGAGGAAGTCACGGGCATGCCCCTAATGCACAGTCCAAACGCTAGCCCAGGTCCGGTCGACTAGACATGACTGGACCAACGAGCCTTAGGTCTGACAGTCCGAAGCTGATGGAAGTTGGGCCAGTGCAGGCGTGGGAGAGCAAAGAATCCGTCTTGGGTGGGGCCTGCCCACGCACATTTGTGCCTGTTTTCGTTAATCGCTCAGTCTGTTGATTAGCTGGACGGAATGTAGGCTGGTGGCTTGCTCAAGTGTTGTCCTTGCTTTGCTTTGCCTTGCGCTTGTTTGTCTTACTTTGTTTTTCATTCCTTTCCGCACTTGAGTGCTTGCATAGTTGTACTGCATACTGCCCAAGAGGACATTCCATTCCGACAAAGATTGTAGAAAGGATTCGGGTAGTTGTGTTGTCAGGTGAGCTCCACACACCAAAAAACAGACTTTATGGGTGCAACTTGGGGTTTGACTGCACGCTCTTGAGCTGGGGCTTGGGATGTGGAGCGTTTGTGCACTTGTTCAGTGAGACCAGGTGACAACCTTTGAACGAGAAGAGCCGTGAATCGTTGAGCAGGGAGCTCTCAAAGTGTACTTAAAAAGCGCGAAAACCCGACACGACCTCCAGGAGCGATAAGGCCGACAATAAACAACGATACCTCCAACCTCCTTTCAGCAGATTTCTTGCAAGATTCGAGACAATCCTGCGGGTTGCGGGGTTTGGCCAGTCCCGTCCGGGAATGGGTGGGGAGTTCGGGTTGTGCTCGATTCCCGGGGGGGTGCCCTTCCGAATACGGAGCTCAGGGCCTGGGTGCCCTGCAGCAGCTCCAAGTCAGCTTCCGGTGCCCGGGTTTGCAGATGGCCGGGCGCCCTTGAAATCCGCCGCTTCGGTCCCGTGGCATCCGGTCATTTCAAAGTGGCGGGGGTTTAGCTCGGGGCCTTGAAACCACCGAAGCTTCCAGTTGCTTAAGAAGATGCTTCTTATTTTCCCTTGCTGGTTTTAAAGGGAATCTATCACTGCTATAGTTGTTCTTTTCTCCAGGGGGCTTAAGCAAATGAAAGCAGGGAGATGCAGATGGACCCACCCGTCGGCTTGCCATTGTGCCAATGTGTGCGCCCTGCTCAAGATTGGCCGCAGTATTGCGCCATTGTCAGAAGATTTCAACAACCCAGGACGGGTAAACGACACACTGGGCCGACATAATATGTAGACAAGAAAGGTGTGCACATGGATGATGTGCACTCATACTCTGAAACCCACATCGCATTCCAAGCTTGTTGGCTGTGCGCACAGAGAAACAAGTTGCCAGCAACTCACCACTCGCGTTTGTTCAGTTGGAACTAACTCGAACTTTCCTTGGCTCAATAATAAAGCAGTCCAACTCCACTCCCATGGGAATGCAAATGCCGGACCCATGACAAGTTTGGCAAGTACAAAGCACAGCCCCAACCTGGTGACAGATGTCGGCAGCTTCCGAAGAGCAGCCGGAGCCTGTACTGCCCGAGCCTGTACTGCCTGAGCCGGCGCCTGCGGCGACTCTTCCGACACACCGGTATCGGTGGTCAGCGGCTTTGTGCAGATCGGAGACGCACAAATTCGCGCGGGGAGTCTCCTTTAGGGACCTAGTGGAGGAGAACCAGGCCCGAGCTTGAGCAAGAGGGTTACCTTCTGGCCGCACGACAACAGCACACTGTAGGCATTGTCCTAGTTTCATGGCTTTACAACTATGATTGTTTGCGTGATGGTAAGCCCAGCTGACATAGCGCTTTAGAGAAGCTTCTTGGCGGCATTTTACTGTACTGGGAGCACACGTTCCTGTTCTTATTGCAAGCAGGTTGAAGTCCGCTGGAAATTGGCTGCTCTGGCACATGTCCTGAATCCGTTTTGTGCGGAAGGTTCAGGACCACTGAACACAGTGGTAGGTTCAGCACAATATCAGAGTCCTTGGCAGCGCGCGGGGTAACGACAACACACAGACGACGGAAGACATCCGCTCACTTCGTAATTATTGTGAATTGTATTTGGCTGATTGCCCTGACTCGGGGGTCAGAAGAAGCATGACAAAGCTGGGTGCCAGCGTGCCACTTGCATTGAACATCTACCACTGGTCAACTAGACGATGTTCCTTGTTGCAGGAGCGTCCTTTATTTTTGTTGTTTCAATGTGCCATGAAGGGCTCCCAAGTTTTCTTGAAGCATCATCCCAGTACAAACTGACGTGAACTTTTCACGCCCAGGATGTTTGGCCCAGAATGTGCTACATCATCAACAGCTGCACAGCAGGGCTCAGCCTCGCAAAAGTAGAGTGAAACACTAGGGGCGACAAGGGCAACTGCCATGGCTTGCCATGAATGGAATATTTGTCATTTTGTGTATACTTCCTTTTTTGTTCTGAAACCCTGCAAGGTGCTGATGCAAGAAGGGGAGCTCAGACTCAAAGGAGGCCTGGCATAAGTGCACTGGCTGAGCAGAGTGGATGCCGGGCTGACCATGTGAAATGGCAGGCCCAGTTGGTCTCAAAAACGGACTTTTTCGTCGGATCCTTCTGGGTGGCTTTGTTGGACAGATTGCACTCGAGGCCCGCAAAAACTACCAATCCATATAGAGACTTTGCGATAAGTGTTTGCCCCTTGGCTTGGCATGCTCGATGCACTCGACGTACTTATTTAGGACCTAGGGTTGTCAGTAAGTTTCCACCGCTCTGTTTCGTCAGGGTGCCAAGCTCTTCCGCCTGTGCACACGGAGCAGGTGCTCCTAACGAAGGCCATTGGTCGTGATCCAGGGTGGCACGCTGCCTAGCCCAGTATCTCTGTCGTTGGGAGATGGACATGCTGGGACCTGAAGTGGAGTTTTGAAACCCACCAAACAGATCCAATCCAAAGGCGGCCAATTTCATTGCAGGTCTGGCTGTTGCGTTTCCTTCGGCGGGGTCTTCGCACGCAGCGTTTGCTTCATTCATGAGCGAGCTCAAGCATGATTGTGCGCATTTGTTTTTATTGCCGCACGCGCATGCTATTCCAGCGGCTCCTGCCACATCTTGCCATACAGGCAAACATGTGTAGTCTCTATTTTCGGCATGGTTAATAGTGCAACGAAAAGAAACATGGGATGAACGAATATTGATTTGCATGACATACACTAAGTAATCAATACTATAATTTAACTCTCGATTCTCTAGTGATAGGTATAATTACGTGTATTATTAGTTATTACATTATGTTATTATGCTTCCCTTGTATATGTTTGGTGCAACATAGAATGGATAGTGGAAAATGGAGAATTATTTTGCATGTCCATCAATTTAACCCACTCATCTCTTTAATGATATGTTACCTAATTCTAGTTCCAAGGGATGAGTGGAGAGTCGACCAATATAATCATAAGAAGGCAACTCTTGAACAGAAGAAGATGACTTCAACAACGTGATGGTAGTTCCCAAAAACAACTTACCTCTCCATCAAGATAATTCGGTTTTATAATTATCTCAAAGACACGTCTCTTCTCTACAACCAAATTGGTGCGCCAAAGGAGTTCATCTTGATAATTGGTGTTTCTTGAAGCGCACCCGGACCGCACTCTGCGCGCCCGAGCCAAAAATCTGAGAAACCCCAAGTCGGTGTTAATCGGAGATCTCTGTGTTCACACAGGCATTCTATTGCCAATGGCTTTGCTTAGACGGCTCACGCTGTAGCCAACAAGTCCTGCACCTTTGAGCTGGGGCCTGAACTTCTTGTCTTGTCGTGAGTCGACATTCAGCATGCCGTTGCTGCAAAAGCGGTTTTTGCGCGGCTTTTTGTGAGAAGTGAACTGCTCCGAGCCGATCTAAACTCTAATGCTGGAAAAAGATGTCACTTCTGAGAATCTAAATTGCTGTTTTGCAAGTAGAGAAGTGCATGTTTGATGCAGAATGCCCCCATCCTCAGCAGCATTCTGAAGCTGCAAGGGCACTTTCCAAGCCTTGAGCCGAGCTAGTTGGAAAGCAATACTGGGGGTCACTTCTGGGCGAAGAGTCCATCAGGGCACATGGTTGAATTCTCCACACTTTGTCTTGAATGTGGAAATCATGGGCCATGGGCAGGCTGGCTCGGCTTGCCTCTAGTGAGCCCATCGCATCCCTGGTTCGTGTTTGGTGTCTGTTTCCGATTTTCCGGATTGGTTTTCCACGCAAGCCTGGGCAGATAGAACGCCATCAGCATGCCTTGGGATGGAATACCTGACTGAAAATTGATGTGGAGCCCATAGGGAGGGCCTCTTTCTTTGATTCGGGTTCCATACGAACTTCTGGCTGCGCTCTTGGATTTGCGAGAGATGTGCAGGCGGACTATGCTCGGCCCTTTGCGGAGACGGTGCTGGCCGTGTGCGAGGTGGACACTTTGACGGCAGCGCTGCAGCGCTATGGCTTCAGCTTACCCCCCGAAAGTGATGCAGACTCAAGAGCCCATACCCAAGAGAAAAAGGTCGCAAAATAGACTAGATTCCCAATAAAATGGCCCTTTCTCCGTACATGCCTGGGTGGGTGCAAAAGGAATGTACGGACGACAATACTTCAATGGTCTTCCAGTGCGCTCCCAATGACTGTGGGTCTTTGTAGGAGGGGTAGGGCACACCATTGCGCCAGCTCTTCGTAGCAAATCAGCGAGCTTCTCCCAGGCTCAACGCCTGCGCACTGAACTTCGCCAACGCAGAGACGCCAGGCGACCGGAAGATGCTTGCTGTACCTGTGACTTTGTAAGGAACGGCCATTCCTCAGCAGCAACTTTTGTGGGTTGTCCTTCAAGCTTGGCACAACAAACACGCCCTCCTTGTTGACTTGGCCGCTGGGCAAATGAGCAGGAGGTTTGTGGATTGTGGCGGTTTTCCCGGGCTTGCATGTTGTCTCAAGTCATAGCGTAATCCTGGGCGGAGCATTCCTTGTTGGCTCCCCAAGTCCTAGTTGCGAAATCAAGTTGCTCCCAAGTCCCCAAGTCCCATACCTCTTGTCCCTGGCCTCACCTTTAACCATCGCCTTGCCACCGGTGAGTTGATCTGCGATGTTCCGTTGCGTTTGGCAGTGAAGTTGCCAACAAGTTAGACCGCACACAGGGCCAGAGGCCCAAAACACTCCGCCCTGTTTGGGGCATCCTTGCCTCAGCTTGCCCCAATCAGTGATGCAAACAGGACGTGGTGTGAAGATGGGAGCTGCCCATGATGAGATGGAAGAAACGAAGGGGGTCTGTCGGTAGGTTGCACCTTATTTTGATCGGCGAGGCATACGCGTACAGTGTTCCGATTGGTTGGCTGACCACTTTCACGCCAAAAGAAGGCGCAAAAGAGGAGAAGCAATTGTCATTCTGTGCGATTGCAATCATAAAGCACAATTAGGGTGGGCCGGGAGACATGTCTGTTGGAATTTGCGCCAAGATACCGTGGAGCTTTTTTGTATTGAGCAGGCTGGGCAATCGGCCATGTATTTGTCTGCCACTCGCTTGGGGCGCACAAAGTGTAGGTGCAATTATATTTTTGCATGTTGCTGCAGCGCAGGGTGTTTCATTAGTTAATTTGTTTCGTGTCAGGGGTGCGCCACAATGGCAAGTGATGAATGGAATCTCTTGGCCGCCTGAATGCACCGCGTCAGACTTGTTTGCAGGTTTCTTGAGAGAATGCACGGGTCCCTACTTCAACCCAGTTGCCCAGTGGCGCCCTTTCCTTTTTGTGGATAAGGGTTCCCCTTTAAACTCAACCCACAAAAAAAGGGTGCCCTTTTTTCCCATGGCCACTGGGCATTTGAGTCAACTTCTTGCCCGCAGCACAGCATCATTGGCGCATGCGTCTGCTCGCTAGGAGGCGGCTACCTACATGGCGCCAGGGCGCAGGAGGAGGACTTGTGCCGACTCCTGCCGCAGCTACACCCATCGCTGGTGCAGGCTGACGTGCAGGCCGGAATCTGCGACATTGTCCCTGGCCATGGACAATTCATTTGAAGCCAATTCATCTGCTGGGCTGCCCTCAAATGCCCCGCTAAAGGTTTAACTTTTAGTGGGTTAAATGGAAACTAACACTAAACACTAAAAGGCTAAAAAGCTTTTGACGGGGATGGCTGGGAGCCACCAAGATCTACATTTGTGTGAAGCATCTCTACAGCGCTTGGAGCTGCCAGCTGGCCGTTTCAAGCAATCTGTGCGTTTTGTTGTGTTGCATGTGTGCAAAAAAAATGTGCTTGTACAACTTCTTGCATCCGATCCGGCATTTGAGTCGTCTTGGCGGCATGGGCTTTCAGCTCATTGAGGTTAGAAAATGTTAGAAAGATCCCCGGATGTTCACTGGCAGCTTTTGGTTGTTCCCTAAATCATCGTGTTGCCATGGTTGCTGACTGGGCCAACGAGATCCCTCCAAGGGCTAAACTCTCACTCGTGAGAGTTTGTGTTGACCAGAGAGGTTTGAACATCCCGTTTACCACCTGTGAACACACAAGATGAAGAGCTCCTTCATGAGTGAAGGGAGTTGTGAACAGTTGCTGTTGCCGCCTCGGTGCTGAAATCACAGCTGATGTTTGAAGGTTGCTACTAAAGGACAAGTGGGACAATTGAGTCAATGAGCATGGAAGGCTCCTGGCCAATTGAGGCAACGCATCCCAGATCCCCCGTTTTGATGCTTTTGATCAAGATGCGTGGCACTTTGCTTGCCAAGAACCATGCAGCAGATTGGAGCTACAACCACCTAGTGAGTATTTGTGACTATCAGGGCCATCTGGCCATGGGTCAAAACCTATGCCTCCATTTTGGGGCGGATGAACACCCATGTGCCACCTATTTTGATGTTCACCAGGGGTACCGGGTTTTGACCCACAGCCATATGCTCCCACATCGCCTCAGTGGCACACAATATCACCTCCGCGCGCCAGGGCCTCTACCCCATCAAGCCGCATGTGCCCTCGGCTGGTGAGTTGGGGGACCCGCCTCTAGAAGCTTTGGGCGCTCTGCGGCGGTTCCCTTAGCGGCCCAAGCCTGTGGTCCCAGAAAGGGGGGCGAGTCGAACAAGGTTCGCGAGGTTCGCGCATTCTTATCAATGCTCCCACTTGCAGGGAACCTGGGGTATCAGGTGAGGCGCCTGAAATAGAACTTTCCTTGACCGAATGAGGTGAGTAACTTTTCTCGAGATATGCTGAGCTGGGGCCTCTTTGTTCCCTCAACTGGGCAGAATGTGAATTGCTTTGAAGCCATAGAATCAGAATTCAGGTTGATTGTGGATGTCCTATGTCAGTTATAAAGGAGTCGGCTTCTGCTGATTTCTTGGAACCGTGACACAGTGGGGGCTTCATGCCGCCTTTGAGGCGGCCCTCCTGACGCAGAATTTGCTGGCAGTACGCTGCTTGGCAGAAGCCTGCGGAGTCCTTGCATTGCAGTCAAGTCAAAACTTTGTGGTGGTTACCCGAGGCAGGAACCTATGGAACCATGGGAAAGTTGGTAAAAGACAAACAACAAGTTTTAAACGCATTCCTGACTGTCAAGGCAGTAAGGCTTAACACAGGAAGAGTACGCCATCAGCCTGCGACAATTTGCTTGGTCGTTCAGTTGCTTGATAGCCATAAGAGAAAGGATTCCCATGCTGTCCATTGCTTGGCGGGTTCCCAGGCCTCTGGGGCTTCCTTTCCCTCTCTGCAATTCGAATTCTCAAGGTCGGCCTGGCAGCTACGAGCTTTGCAGCTGTCTGGGTAGCTGTACCATGGTCACCGCGGCCATGCCAAATCGACCGGGGCTTGGTTCGCATGCACAGCGCATACTTCCCACAGGTGACCTGCATCAGAAAACAGTTTTTTGTTTTTCCCGAGGAACGTCCTGAGGGGGGGGCCCTTTTTTGACCCCATGTTGATTTGCAGGGTACTTGCTGTTGATTCTCAGCAACTGTTCCCTGTCGGTTGATACAATATTATTGCCTGCATGAGTGTACTGCACCAGTAGCTTTGCATTCAACGTTTGGGGGGTTCAACACGAAGCGAGTTTTGGACCAGAATGGAAGAGCACGAGGATGGTACCGGGGTCCAAATGTATGCTGTACATTTAGGGCATTTTGCTTGGTTCTTTGTTGCGCATAGGCTGGTTCAGGCTTCTTTGGCAAGCACTTGTCATGGTGGATCAGGCACCGCACCAGTGTGCAGGACCAGCCTGCAAACGTACCATAACTTATCATGTTGGCCAGTCATCAAAGCAGGAAGCAAACATGCACAAAAAGGGTTCGTTCATACAGGTGAGGGTATTTTGGTGGCCCAATGTGGGCAGTAGGTTCTCCAGTGGCAGGATATCCTGCGCCAAACACTGCGGAGTGGCGGGACACTGTGGCCACGCGCATTCGCGCAGTGCTGCACGCAGCGTAGCTTGTCTTAAAATATGGACTGCCGCCCCTTGCGGCGCATAGATGCCCTTTGGACGCCTTCCCAGATTGTGGTTTGTCCAGTATGTATGCGCGCTTTGCTTCTAATTCAGCACAGAGGAAATCAGTGTGACTCATGGATCGGCATTGATGCTGCCGCATGACAAATCATCATGTGACATGTGTCTCAATTTTGTTGGTTTTGACCCTGTCTCTTTGCGGGAGAGGACCGAAGGAGGAGATGGATTCAACGTAGAAGTAAGCATCCAGAGCTGCTTCTGTGTAGCATGCATGTAATGGCGGTTTGCGTGTGCTTGTTTGCTTGCTTGCTTGAACTCCTTGCTTGTTTGTTTGTATATTGGTTTGTTGCTGCTTGCGAGTGTTTGTGCTACTGGTAGTGCTTGTGTTTGCTTGTGTTTGCTTGTGCATGTGCATATTATCATTTGATGCTGCCGTTCCCGACATGGGCATCAAGTCCCATCCTGGCGTTAGTAGGCATGCAAGGGAGACCCGCAACAAAAGCAACAACTATGGGGCGTGCGGCTGCTAAGTTTCATCTCGTGCGTCATTGATTTCGGCTGCATTGAGCAATGCTATCCTAGGCATATTTTGTAGCCACCACTGCAACCAGTCTTCAAAGCAGATCTGGCCAGGTCCATTCAGCGAAATGCTGTGAGGTTGCCAGAATTGCGGCTTTCAACACTGGGGCACTTCTTTGGGGCACTTGTATGCTTCTTGGTTCTGGTTGCGAACTCCTGTGTCCAGCTTCGTGGTTGCGGTCTGAGTTGCATGTTGTTGTGTGCCAGCACGAGTAAATGATAGGCTGCTAAGGGGGAGGCGTCAGGGGGGGAGGGGTGAAATCAAGGAAGAAAGCATCAACCATGCACTATTGCTTAATGCTTTGTAACACTTTGTAAGGGCTAGTAAGCTTTCGCAAGCCTTAGTCAGCCTTAGTAATAATTAGTAAACCTTAGTGAGTGCATTTGAGCAAGATTGTTGTTTGACCCCATGAGTGAGCTCAGCAAGCACTCTTCCGAGATTTTTAGGCTCAGCAAAGAACAATGGCCACGTCTGTGTGTGTGTTTTGAGCCTTGCTGCGCGGTCTTGAGCGCTACTGAGCGCTACTGAGTGCTACTAAGTGCACGACAGCAAGCTTTGCAGAAAGTGCATGATGTTTTTGTCATTTCAACATGGCCAAGTTGGACCTCGCCCCCACTCACCAGCAAACACTCCAAGTGCATTCCGCTTCTGAGCAACTTTCGAACATTATCCGAAGCGCAGACAGAGTGCGCGAGCTGGGCTCTAGCCCGTAAATTTTAAGAATGTCTATGACACCAACAGTTGGGTTGGCTCCCAGGGCGGTGTCCGGGCACAGCAAGCTGGTGCTGGGTGCCTGGGGATGTGGTGCCTTCGGCAACCCCCCGAAGCAGGTGGCGCAGCTGCTCGGCGGTTTTTGGGTCCCAAAGTGTCCCCCGGACAGGTCTGAACGCATACCAGATGCTCGAACCGAGATAGCCGGTTCGGGTGTCCGACATTTGAAACGGCTCCACACCCTAGGATATGAACAGCTTTTGGGCAATTCTCACTTCACGCTTTGGAGAGTGTTGGTTTGAATAAATAAATTATGTTGGCTTCCCTGTGGAGTTGCTGAACATGACGTTGTGAGACCAGGGAACCGGCCGATCGCTCAGCGAGTCTGTTGGGGTGGTCTCGGAGTCCTCGATCAAGATGTTGTGCAAAGATGCGTAGATACCAGCTGTACTAGATGTAGACATTGCAAGTTTTGTGTTTTTCGACTTGAGCCTGGAATATTACTAACAATTGTCCGTGCACAAGTGCACACATAGGAATTGACAAATTGCGATCGGACCCTTGGGCCCTTAGGTTTTGAGTGGTATGGCCCTGTATGGCTATATAGTTCACGTCAGAATTAGGAAAGCTAGGAGCAAGGGGCCATGCCAAGTGTTTGTTTAGCTCGCTATTCCCCACTTCGTGGAAAGCAGGAGGTCCATCACAGGCGACCAATTTTGCAAGCCTTTGTCCACGAAATTCCCGCCTTGCCAACAGCCTGCTAGAAGCAGCCTTGTTGAAGAAAGGTGCTCCAAGAGTAAAACGGTCCACTGAGATATGTTATATAGATAAGCTTATCACTTCTTCTTTACCGCTTCTTTTGCAATGAGCCAACCCCGAATGACGACGTCTCAATCCGAATTGGACGTGAAATAGGCTATAGGCTTTATTATAGGTGTCTCATGTCCCTCGTGAAGAAGCCATTGGATGGATGAGGTTTGGCTTCCCATTTGCTACGCAACCGCCCGGATGCGTGCTTTGCCGGTTGTTTTCGAAGTCTGGTTTGTTTGGCTGACTGCCATTTCTTTCATTTCACAAGTGTCGAGGGGATACCTACGCAGACGACTTGTCTAAAGCAATTCTGCCGAAAACCCATGCCAGCTTTCAGTCCGTTCCCTCTCAAGTGAAAAAACATCACCCAGTCCGTTTAGACCGTTGAATTTCAACCAGAATGAGCATGTGACCCCACTTAGATAGCACTGTTCCTTTCACCTCTCCCTTTTTCCCCTTTAAACTTTAATTCTGTGAGTCCTAATAAGCGGGCTCCAGCTTGCAAAGGGAAGCATGTAGCATCCTAGAGCCCAGTTGTGAGAACCTCGACGGGTAAGGCTCTTCAAGGAGCAGCTTGCCTCCCCGGACTTCCGCGGTGTCTTTGACACCATCGCCTTCGCCATCATCGACCCCCGGGGCGATGGTAACCTCCGGCCCTTCCGGGAAGTGGGAAGCTCAGCATGGCTCAGCCTGCATCTTCCATGTCAACCATGGTTTGCGTTGGACGAGTCCCCAGGAAAAGAACATTATTTGTGTTGGACGAATGTCCCAAAGGCGAGGGGGTTGGCATGGGGGTTGGCCTCATCGAGGAAAGGGCAGCTTAAGGGAGCAATGTTAAGCTTGACAGTTCATTTTCGGAGGCCAAATCTTGCTTACATGGATGTCACGTACCTATGCTTACTTCTGGGTATGGATGTCGTGCCTTTGTCCGCTCGTTGTTTTGACATGGGCTACTCATTCAGCGTGGCTCTGAATGAGTGAGGAGGTTGCTTCAGTTTGCATTTGCTGCATGCTTCAACATCGAGCAACAAATGCCGGAGGTAAGGGAATCACCTTTAGCACCAGAGTACACAATTACAGGCAGCTTTAGAATCAAGCGCAGCCAATCTGGATTGGACCATGGTTTGCACAATAGTATAAGAAAGCTGACAAAGGCCCCCGCCCCCAAAACGATATTACTCAGCTCAAGGTATGAGTGCAGGGGGGCCAACCACCCTGAAGCCGTGTCTTGAAGCAGAGTGCCTGGCCAATCTGAGAAGCATTGGCCTCCCAGCAACGTGTGCCCGCGTCAAGATCCGAGTGTGGAGTGTCCTTTGCTAAGCTGCCTGATGTCCCCAGCCCAGGTCTTGATGACGTTGGCTGAGTAAGTAGCCCGGCTTGGAAGCCTTGCGTGCAGCAGAAATCAGCGTGTCAAGCGTCGATGACCTAGCGCGTTTTTTCTCCCTGTCAGCTTTTATTGGTTGCATGCCGGGCGCATTCGTTGCGTGTCTTTGCCTTGGCCTGTGAGTTGTGTCCTTGTGCAGGGAGTGAAGGGCTATGCGGCTATGTTGGCCTCGGACCATCCGTTTCTTTAACGCCCCTTTGCTTGACACGCATGTAACCAAGCAGCGTGATGGGAATTCTGCAAAGGAGCTGAACCAACTTAGCATCATGCCCGCAGGAGGCGAAGCCGAAATCAATGAAGCCTCTCGCTCGGACCAAAACAACATGAACCTCCAATCGCCTTAGCAGGTGAGAGATCAACCTGGTTCTTTCAGCCATTTGTGTGTTTCCCCAATCTGTGTTTTACGCTAATCATCATAATTGTCTGGACATGTGAGGACTCATGTGTGGAGTTGGCTTCTTTTCTAACAAGCCGGGGTTCTTGATTTGATGCAGCATGGCTGAGAGGAAAAACCTTCAGGAGGGAGGTTTCGACGATTCCGTTGGCTGGCTCATGCATTGCCCTTTGCTCCTGCATTTTTGGCCCAAGCGCCTATACTTAAGGCCGCTGCACCATGAGCCACAAGGGGTTATGGGGCCCCACTCATTCGTCACATGTGTCTGACGCTACCGAAGGACAAAGAGGGTTGTTGGCGGCGGCCTGTTCCGAGTTGCGGCCCGTTCCGAACCGAGCCATTGTATATAGAGCAATTGTTCGAGCCATGGATTCGAACCCCATGGATGTTCATGAGCCGGAGTGGCTGCTTTGCCCCCTCACGGCCTGTATGCTACTGCACTTTCAAGGTGGGCGGTGTTTAGTCTTAGATATGTGTGAGGGTGTGAGGAAAAAAATGATTCTCCAAACAAACGGATAGTTGTGGTGCAGACGAATTGGTTGAAGGTCGAGGATTTGTTAGTCTGGGAGCCTGAGGGCTGGACGGAAGGTTAGATGGGTTGCTTCACATTCGGCGTTTTACGATGTGGTGCGCTTTGTCACCCTGTTTTAGCGGCAGTTCCAGTTGTTGACCGGCGGTCTTGATGGTGTTCATTATGGTGCCTAGCTCCCGTGCCGTGCTTTCTCCGGATGCTTTTGCTAGCTGCGCTTGTGCCCAACTCTGTCAAATGCTTCCATGCCGTCTCTTTGTAGCCGTTCTTTTGCGGTGCAGTTTGTGCTGCGCGCAGCTTCAAGTGCAAAGATCCAAAGCGGGGGTGCGCACACCAGAACAGGTGGAATCTGGAGTTTTATCTCCTTGGGGTTTCGGACTGCTCAACCTCGACCTACAACCCAACTCTAAGCTCGATCTTTCCCTCATCAGACCAGGATCGACTTTCACAAGCGCGCTGAGCTGGCCTGAGGTTCCGAGAGCCAGTGGTTAACATCTTTGGCAACACGTATGAACGAGAATCTTGGCGGCAGTTTGGGATGGCCAAGCCCGCATGCGAATCTGACTTCAACCCGGCTCTACGCCCTAGAAGTCGAGGCAGTTTTGTGTGTTGCATGTCATGGGGCCAGGATATAGTATATCTTTTTTGCGTATGGGTAAACCTATATATATATATACGTATATGTATTTCATTCATGCAGCCAGTGACTTTTGATATGCGAACAACTTGAACCTCAGCCACACGACTTGTCTGGAGGGCATTGCGGATCGACCGGCATGGCAACTCCCAACTGAAAGCCAAAGCAACAGCCCTCAGCCACATGAGGGACACACGGGACCAATGAACTTGCTACCACCCACCAACAACTCATGAAACACGGGATGGTTCACTGACAGAGTTTTGAGCTGATGGAGGGGAATTGAGCGGATAGGCAATTGCAGGCTTCCAGGGTGTTGGCAAGCCGCAAAATACTGGTTACTTGGCTTGCTTCGAGGACCATTCTACCTAAGGGCAGTTCCAGCCCAACATTTGTCAGGTTCCATGGGCTTCGGAAAAAATGCCATGCAGGACATTTATCAAGAGGCTTTGAAGCATCGTCTGGTCGACCCCTTGACGAACCAGCCATTGCCGCGTCCCGACGGAGGACGATCGGATGGTGATGGATGGTGCAGGGAGGGAGGGGAGGTTCGCTGTTTGGCCTTGCAGGTCGCAACCTTTGATTCAGTAAGCATCCATTCGACCCCAACCCATCCAGGTGTTTTTTTGGCGTACACCGAGTATCCAGTGAGTATCCGACTTGCCGACTCGCTACATGAAGTTTCACCGGGTTGAAATCCATGGCATTGGCAACACTTAGGCTAGTTGGCATGTGCATAGTGTCCGCTTCCAAAGGCCAAACTGTCAGGCAGCAGGCAGGTTTGGACTTTGGGTCGGATTCAGCCGGGGAGCACCTTTTAGGAACAGATTTGCCTCGCCTGTGATACAGTCTTGGTGAACCAATGTTCGACTTCAATGCGAGCACCAGAGCGAGTCCTCACCATTTGTTATTATGTGTCTCTTCTCTTCGGCTGCGGCTTTGCAGACAAGTCGTGGCGAGCAGAAGTTTCACGGCATACTTTCTGCCTTGTGCACTCTGCCCCCCCCCAAAAAAAAAAAAAACTAGACCACGGTTGGCCCGAAAGCAGAACATCGCAAGCGAGGTCGGCCCAACGCTGCAGGATGCGTTCTTTTTCCCTACACGAAGCATTCGTGAAGCAAGCGCGAGACAGCACCAGGCAAGGTGCTCTGCGCAAACTGGTCGGTGCAAGTTGGTCTGCGCAAGTTGCTCTACGCAAGTTGCACTGTGCAAGTTGCTCTGCGCAAGTTGCTCCGCGCAAGTTGCTCCGGCAAGTTGGTCCCTGCAAGTGGCTCCCTGCAAGTTGCTCTGTGCAAATTGCGCTCCCTGCAAGTTGCTCTGTGCAAGCTGCTCTGTGCAAGTTGCTCTGTGCAAGTTGCTCTGCGTAAGTTGCTCTGCGCAAGTTGCTCTAGGCAAGGCGCTCTGCGCAAACTGGTCGGTGCAAGTTGGTCTGCGCAAGTTGCTCTGTGCAACTTGCTCTGCGCAAGTTGCTCTGCGCAAGTTGCTTTAAAATGCAAGTTGCATCTTGCGACGCCCGCCCGCGGACCAGGGAGGAATCGAACCCGCGACCCGCCGGTTCCGGGAGCAGGCGCGCGAACCACGAGACAACTCCCGAGGACCAGTTCGAACAACAAAAGTCGCAAAAAACCTCGAGTTTTTGCACCTCGACCACGCCGATCCCCGCAGAGGGTCGCGCGAGCACCGCAGAAATCGCAAAAAACCATGGGTTTTTGCACCTCGACCACGCCGATCCCCGCAGAGGGTCGCGCGAGCATGTTAGAAATCGCAAAAAACCATGGGTTTTTGCACCTCGACCACGCCGATCCCCGCAGAGGGTCGCGCGAGCACCGCAGAAATCGCAAAAAACCATGGGTTTTTGCACCTCGACCACGCCGATCCCCGCAGAGGGTCGCGCGAGCAGCAGAAATCGCAAAAAACCTCGGTTTTTGCACCTGACCACGCCGATCCCCGCAGAGGGTCGCGCGAGCATGTTAGAAATCGCAAAAAACCATGGGTTTTTGCACCTCGACCACGCCGATCCCCGCAGAGGGTCATTTAGCCCGTGTAGTGTTGCCACGCTAAGAGGCCCTGCTGTCAATTGAACACATTGCACTTGCACTTGGACTTGCAACTTGCAACTCCTTGCACTTGCAACTTGCAGCTCGCAATGACTCTCATGACTCCTTGCAATGACTCCTTGCAATGACTTCTTGCAATGACTCCTTGCAATGACTCCTTGCAATGACTCCTTGCAATGACTCCTTGCAATGACTCCTTGCAACGACTCCTTGCAATGACTCCTTGCAATGGCTCCTTGCAATGACTCCTTGCAATGACTTGTTGCAATGACTCCTTGCAATGACTTTCATGATGATGATTCCTTGCAATGACATTTTGTAATGACTCTCATGAGAACAACTCAAGTGAACCCAGCGGAAGAACCCTTCGCCATGCTTTCGGGAAAAAAGAAGAAAAAACACATAGCATCAGTTGAACAGTCCGGATTCGAGCATTTGCTTTGGTATCGGAATCGCGGGCACCGACAGAGGAACACAAAGTTCGGGGTTTTGGATGTTCCGCTCGGAGGCCCTTTGCTTCCAAACCGCTCGGTGCGCTCGGCCGTGGAGTCGTTCCTACAGCAGCACAAAGGCTGGATGGCAAAGCTGACAGCTCCGAGTGGATTGAGGTGGCCATGTTTCTTTTTGTGGCACTCTTTGCGCTTCGGGTACGGGTTTACATTGAACAATGTTAGCGAAGCCTTTTCATTGCACACGGGCAAGTGAGACAAGTTCTCGATATGTCTTTAGAATTTCGGCCTGGCTCGCAATTAACTACAAGATGCTGCACTCTGTTGATTGCACACCCATTGGCACGGAACAGGTTCAGGCGGCTGTGGGAAGGGGGCCAGCGTTAAGATGTTTGATGGGGGTTGTCACAGCCATAGCATTGGCTTTGGAAGTTCTGATGAGTTGCTTGGAGCACTTGGCTTTTGGAGCTGCTTCACGCCATCCCGAACGAAGCCCTTGATCCGGTAGGCTATTTGCCGCGGGGCTGGCCCAGCTTCGACGTGCCTACCAGCGCGGTGCAATTAGACTCGCGGCTGTTCAGCGGCCCTTTTTCTTGTTTGCCTTCCCCACCAAAGCTGAACACCAGCAAAGGGGAAAAGCATGGACGAGCACGTGTTTTGCCCCATCAAGTGCTGCGCAACCAAGGAAACCACCCTCTCATTCGTGAATAATGACTGGGAGAACTTGGAGGCCGGGATGTTGAGTTGCCCAGAAACTTACATCCTTGTCATGCCGTTTCCTGTCAATGCAAATTACAGCGTGTTGACCCACAGTTTGAGATATTTGTCTACACGGTGCTCCGGTAAAAGCAAGCTATGTTCTTGGCTTCATGTGCGTTTTGTATGCCGAAGACGGATCTTTGGCATCGCGTTGTGTTTACCACCGCTTATGAAGCAGGGCTTCTCCTGGTGCCTCACCATGGGTCCCTACCACGGGGACATGCATGGCGAGCGTTGACAATATAGCACGGCACAGGCGTTGCCAAAGTGTGCATGTTCTTTGTGGCTATTTGGTTGGATCGTTGGACTTTAGCTCTGGGAAACAGTGTATTTCCCATTGACCCCCCACATAAGGTTAATCTGTTTGCAGAGGGGTCGTTGCAGCAACCAAGTGGTTTGCCAGCTTTCTCGGGGCAAAGCTGGCCGCCAACCAAACATGTCGCACGTGTTACTCCGGGTGTGTTTCCATAGGCCGTAGTAACTCCCCGTCCCCGTCCTTGGCCCATTCCTTGGCGCACTGCAAATTCATGTGCCAGGGTGACTCCTTTTGCCTTACATGTGCATGTGCAAGCAAGCACTGCTCACAGTTGTGTCATTTGGTGACATACATTGGGAGAGTGTTTCTTTGTACTGGTGCGAGTTGTCCGGCCCGCTCGGTGAAGTCACCGTGATCTATCAGTCGTTCCTGCACAGCGCGGAATGCGCTGTGTGCACGTCCCACGGGCTTCTATTCAAAATAAAAGTGCATGGGCTTCAACATCTCGAGGGCCTGAGGGCATCGACGAAATGTGGCCCAGCTCCTTGCCCGCGCTTTGGGGCACTTTGCATCAGGTGTATACATTGCATAGGAGCCCTCAGTGTTGTGCATTGGGGGAAGAGGAAAAGCAAGTCGGCCAGCCCTTGATTACAGTGTAGCCTTGGGGCCTTTGGGAAGAACATCCTTCTGTTAGGCTATCTAAGTTCCTCTTCGTCGGTTTAAAGCACAAACATCCTCTTGGGAGGCTCCTGGTATCCTTTGGCATTTCTTAGCACCGGAAGTATTGCTTGTCATGCAAGGTGTTTTGACCATCGTTCTTTTGCTTGCCTGTACCGTCCCACCGCTTCGTTGATCTTAGCCCTGTATTTGAGCCCTGCACAGGGCGGCGGCCCCAAGCGACTGCGCCTGCAGAGAGTCGCGGGATGCCTGAAGCTGGCGGCACGCGCCTTGTTCTCCCTGCGACCGGCGCCTTGGCAAAGCTTCGCGCCGCTGGATTCGCACCCTTTTGGTCGGGCTTCCTGGGATGTCAAAAGTCGCCGTTACCGGCTATTTTTGGAGGATCCCTCTGTAAAATCTTGGGATCCTGGAACTGAGCAGCAGCACATGCAGTTCATTCCGAATGCCGCCGCAGTTGCTAGCATCAACCAGGTCAAAGAAGCTGGTTACTGCTTGCAACAAGCCCCAGGTGGTAACAAACGCAATCTAGCTTAGCGTTTTCCCAGCTATAAGCCCAGGCTACGCATTTGCATCAGTGGCTTGGTTGAGGGGGCAAAGCCACACGTTGACCAGTTTCACACCCAGGTGTTGCCAGAGTACGACCCGCGCACTGACGCGAGTCGCCACATCCAGCGAGTGGGTAGCGTCCTTGGTGCCCTGGCCGGCGACCAGAAATCTTTACGGATATTGAAGCTCACGGGACCCATTTAAGGGAGAGAGAGAGCTGGGAACATGGCATGAGAGAGGCAACATGCCATTTGTCTCATTCTTGTTTCGCTTTCTAAGGTAAGTCCATGGAATGTGGATCAAGGGGGAGATATGGAGTATCTAGAAAGAGAGTGACATAAATCCCTAAGCTTCCGCTCACTATCGCTAGGAGCTCAGCTCTTGTAGCATGTTTCCCCTTTGCTCAACGTAGCCCTTATAGGGTCTCACTGAGCTGGGCGGGTTGCTTGCCGGGTCTCAGTACCGGAAAGTTTGATTCAACCTTGTGCTTTTCACCCAACCTGGGTGTCGCACTTTGCTCTTGGGCCCTCTGTTTCTTTTTCAATTGAAGCATTTGGGATCGTGTCAGGCAGCTCGTCAGTATCCTTGATATCGTTGTGATTTGCCTGACTTGGCTGGTGGAGGTTTTCCCATGATGAAAGTTCTCCCAAGTTTGGTATACGTGCCAGGGAGCAGCTTTAGCAGTTGCCAATGGCTTGTCAAGGGATATCCTTCGAAACAGCAAGTTGCTATTGTTCTGTTGCCCTTGACGTGGAGCTTCAGGCAGAGTCCAGGAGTGACTTGTCTTCGGGAGGGTAATCGTTTAGTTTGGCCTTTTAATCCCCATCATGATCACACCCAGCCAATATTGAGCTAATTCTACAACCAATAGCGCAACCAATGCAGTTTGACGCCAATGCTAACCCCCCGGACCAACGCAACACAAAATCGAACCGACTACAACTGCGATGTGAGGGGCGCATTTGGATGATGACCAAAAAGGACAGACGTTCCACAAGCTGAACGGGGAAGCCGACATTGACATAAAACTTGTTCTTAGGGGGAGACGTTATATGCTCCTACAACGTTGACAATTGTTAGATGCACCTCTGGCAGTCTTTCCACTTCCCGCCCAGAGAGACAGTCCGCCATCTTGCCCAACCTCCAAACTGTCTTTCACACCATGTAACTTTGTCCCAAACTACCCAAACCCCGAAAATGCCTGGTGTCATGTTGGTTTCGCTTTGAAACCTCCATTTTTTTGTGTTCCCCCGCGACTCATGCGCACATTCCATGCATCGGAGGCATGTCGCTGGGCCTGTCCATGGGCCGCATGGGCTGGGCGCTGTGCGCCCGCCTCATGGGCGCGCTGGCGGGGCGCCGGCCCTTGGCGCCGGTGTCGCTGCTGGCGCGCCCAGACGCCACCGGGCGACTCGACCGAAAAGGACGAAGCCATGCGGAGGGTTTTGCTCGGCCTTGCGTTTGTTGGTTTCTTTGGCATGGGGTTGTGGTTTGTGCGTTGTGTTTTCTGGGGGGTTCGGCATGGTCTGTGCTTGGAGAGGTCTGTTGCGGTTGTGGTAGAGGAATTGCTCGCTGAAGTGGATTGGAAGTTAGCCCTTGAAGGAGCAAGCACAGTGTTGGATTGTTCAAATCTTTGCTTTTAGCAGTCCGGTGTACCCATGCATGACGGATTGGTGAGTGGTTTTCCTGCATGCCCGGATGTCGCGCCTTAGGCGGCGGTGGTCTTTCTAAGCAAAACATTGAAGGCCAGCTTCCTCTGAGAGCATGCTGTGGACGAATCCTGCACCACCTAAGAAACCCTGGAATGATTCCAACAAACCATGGTTTCCCCATGTTTTAAGGAACCCTGCAATGATGAGCCCCCCTGTAAATACCAACAATCCGTGGTTTCCGCATGCTCGAGCGACCGGGCGAATGGGCCTGAGGTGTGACTGGCTGCGCGCAGTGTACCGGCTAACACTGCCGTTGCCACTGGAGTGGTTACACGTGATTCTGGGTAGGTTGCTGCTGGGCCGCTTTGACACTTATGCCGCATTAAGGTACAGATGGCACAATTCCAAGTGCGAAAGTATAGGGGATGACTAAGGCAGAACGGGAGGGGGGCGGGGGAATCGTGCCATCTAGTTGTACCCAATTGCAGGGTTTTATTTAGTGTTGTCACTCACGTCCGACTCGAAAAGCTGTTATCTGGGCTGCGGGCCGGCACGAATGCGCGGAGGTTCTGGTCCGCTTGCTGGTGAAGGAAGCAGTTTGGGCAAAGCTGCCACAAAACATCTTTTACGCGGCCAACTTGTGCAAAGAGGAAGTGACCTATGGAATGCCGCAGGCCGGCTGAAGCTGGCGCCAGTATCGTCTTTCGGGTTGTGTTTCGACCTTGAGTGCTTCATGGAACATGCTTGTGGACCGTGTGGATGTTATGTTTGACATCTGCCTCCCACTGCGTTGTTGGAGTTCCGGGCTGTTAGTCAGCTCGGGCGATGTGTGCAGGAGCTCTGCGAATACCTCTTTATGCCGATTGCATTGGCTTCGTGTATCCACTTTGCCTGGGCCTCAGGATGCCGAAAGGACAAACCATGATGATACAGCTAAACGGGAGACCTGGCAAATGTTATTTGGAGCATGCTCTTGCTTCAGCCAGGAATTCTTAGACAGGGGCGTAAGGTAAAGTTCATTGGCAAATTGCTAGGGGAGCACCTCCAAGGGGGGGTCCACACGCTTGCACCTCCTCTTGACTGCTTTTGACACAGTCATGGAGAATCATGACGGATCATGGGGTGTCAAGCAATTGGTGGGGGTGTTTTCTTAAGGATACCCGGCCTTTTTTAAGTTGGTTCATTTGGAAACCGAAAGGACAACCATTTTGGATCCCTATTTTTGAGACACGTCCTAGTGGGTTTGAAACTAGCTGACGTTGCTGGGAGATGAGTCAGTAGGGGAAGGGTGCTGCATGAATAGCAAGCGACGTGGAGGTGAACGTCTTTTTTGGTCAAGTGTTGACCGGCTCGGAAAAGGGGGGCGTTGATGTTCACAAATAGTGGGGCAGAGTCTACCATGTTTTGCTCCTTGTATGCTTTGCTTCCTTTTCCAGCCCAACCAATTGACAATTGATTATGCTTGTTTTCGTGTTGGGCACCTTCCTGTTTGGCACAGCTGCAGCTGATGGTACAGCTGTCCTGCTGAGCAGAATATTTTTTTCCCGCTTGGTGTTGCTTCCAGTTCAGAACTGGCTTAGCCTTTGGCAATTGAAAACAGTATTCAGGGAGTTCGGCTTTCATTCGGGGCCGAGGATGAGCGGCATAGGTGTCCTTGTTGGTTGGTTTGGTTTAAAATTTACGTGGTGGTTCTATCAACTACCTGGGCCATCTATTTCGAGCAAAAAAGGACACCTATGAGTAGCCGCTGATCCCAGTGACCCCCGGCTTGGTTTTGCTGTCGGGCTGCCCCAGGTGGTGCTGGGCCGGGAGATCGCCCAAAAGTGCGCTGCCAAGAAGCACGACGAGATGCAGGCGCCACTCCTCGCCCGTGTTTTTTTGGCCGGAATCCCCGGGATTCGGTTGGCGCCAAAACGGGGATGGACATATGTGAACACCCCCCCCCAAAAAAAGGTGTATATATATGTAAATATATACATGTGTAGATATTTATATATCTATATATATATACAGATATTCCTGAATATGTGGTTTCCTTTTGGTGGTCCTTCAAGCCACACCAAGAAGGGGACGCTCCAAAAAGGCCACACCCATTTGTTGGTATGGCAAATGCTGTGCTGGCGTTGAATTAGCCAAAGATTTCCTTTGCTTGTTGCTGCCCACCAACATGCCACTTCACGTATTGCCAGCGAGTACTGCAGGTGGGTGACAGTCATGTGTTGTGCAAACGCAGAGTTCCTAGGCTGCGCCCCAGGCTGGAAAACCCGTTTCGGCATTTGAGGTTTGCCAGTGCCTCTACTGGGCGCAGATATGCGCAGATATGGTGGCAAATGTGGCCAGGCAGAGGTAGGGACATTGCGGTTGGTGCCTGTAGCCCCATGGTTCAGTGTGGAGCCTCTCAGCCGATTCCCCGCTAGAAACAGGAAAAGCGAAGCAAGGCACCATGGCCGCTAGTGTAGATTCCGAATGAAACGCCTTTACCTAGAGAAGAGGACAAGCAATATGTATTGTTACACCATATTACAGTTGTGTCATGTGTCCATACCAAAGTCGATTCCGAACTGGACATGCCCACCCATTGTTTGAAGAACATTGTTGGTTAGTCAGGTGGCTTTCGAAAGGACCCCCGTATGAGAAAGAAATGTCTAGGAATCGACAGGGAGGTCCATTAATTTAACGCCGGGCCCTTGGAAGTTGACATTTGACCAGGTTCGTTGAACATTTCCCTGGCATAGCTGGGTCAATTGTGTTGAATTGAGCTATGGCGCCGAGTGCCGCAGACTTGCATCAATGTTTCCAGTTAAGTGACGTGCGGGACATGCGGTTACTTCCTGCTTGCCCTCACCCCCAGAGTTGGGGCAGAATTACCCTCCCTCCAATTAACATGGCAACTGACAGGGGCTCCCTTCAAAAGGAAAGGATTCTTCCAGGTACCTACCCACAGGTACAGGTGCCATGTTAGTTGGAGGAAGGGTATATTTTTTGATTAGTGGCCACGGCAATGGAGGTAGTGTTTTTTATTTTACTAGGTCTGGTTTTTTATTAGGTCTGGTGATGGGTTGGTTGGTTGGTTGGTTGGTTGGTTGGTTGGTTGGTTGGTTGGTTGGTTGGTTGGTTGGTTGGTTGGTTGGTTGGTTGGCCGCATCCCCGGCATCACCAGCATCACTTGGACCTGGGGTTGCCTATTGGCTCTGATTGGGTGGCAGTTGGGAGTTGCTTGGGGGCTGGTTTCAGAGCCAATAGGCAACCCCAGGTCCAAGTGATGTTGGTGATGCCGGAAATGTTGGCAGCTTTGCGGAAAACCGGACCCAGTAAAAAACCGGACCTAGTAAAACAAAAAACACCTCTACCGCTACGGCAACGTGGCGTATTGCCTGAAGCCGTTGGCTTCAGGCGACGGAGTGGCGAGCCACGCAGAGCCTCTGGGCAGCTGTGGTAGGTACCATGAAGGTGCTGCCGCTGACGGGCTCCTTAGCATCGAAGTGTGGGGAAATTGGAACATGATGACGGCAGGTTGTGAGGGGGGCGGGGGCGGGGGTGGGTAAACGACTGACTTCACCTGTGGTGTGTGGGAATTTGTAGGTTTGGTTAGGGCGAGTTTTGGTTCTGGGTTGTTGCGTTTGCTTTCAGGGTTTTGCAGTCTTTCTGCATATCTGCTGGTACGCCCGTTGGCCGCATCCAGGCCATAAACCCCAACATGTCGCTGGACAAACAGCTGTCATGTTGCGTTAAAATGCGAGTTGATTCCGTGAGAATCGTGATGTGTTGCTGTACACGTGGACACATTTCCGGTCATTTCCGCAGCCGCAGTCGATGAAACGAGATGAGCAAAAGTGAATGACAAACACTTGCCCTGGCTGCTGGCAGCTAGCGCGCGGAGGATATCGGGAATGCAAACTGCTTGTCCAAAGACTGCGCAAATCGTGTTTGTTTGTCATTGCGTCCAGCAATGCAAGAGAAACACGCCTGGTGACACACACACACACACTCTCTCACGCAGAGAGGTTTTTTCCCACACCCCTGGCATGACAAGACCGGATGGTTCGGGCTGTGTTCTCGCAACAGATGCCAAGAAATGGCCGTGCAAACGTGCGTGCATGCATGCTCCTGGGAATGGTTTGGAAGCAGCTTGGCCCTCACCAGTTCGCAGACTAGCCACTTTTCCTTTGCCTTGCCTTTATATAGTTGTGTTTGAAGTTGGATTAGAGGTTGGGAGGCTCCATTTGAATTCAACAGCCAGGGTTCAACGGCTCAGATGAATCCATGGTGCCAAATAGAGTGGTTTGAGATGGATGAGTGCTGACTCGCATGAGTCACTTTGCATCGCACCAAATCAACATGTGGAACATAAACGTCATGCGAGCTGAGCAGGACCGATCTGATGCTGAGAGAGAGCAATTACCAAGGCTTGCCAGGCGGCTTGACACGGTGTGTTTCTAGGTGATCGACGCACTGTGGGTCGCCACAGAAAGGCGTCGACATGAACGACGGTCGTTGGCCTTATACAACCTTGTCGTGTGAAGTCACATTGAGTCACAGTGGAACAACTTGCGCTAGCGCAAGGATGCGTCCCAATCACCAGGCCGGCCATTTCTGCCATGGTAAAGTTTAGGCGACGGCAACGACTCCGTTCGTCGCATAATGCAAGCCCGAATCGATCAAGCCAGTCACAGGCATCCCTTCTTCGACGGGGCCACGTAGGCCGTCACGTCTCAAGTCAGGTAATTATGTTTGTGCTGACATATTTGACAAACAAACAGACTAGGGTCATTCTGGAGCTGCGAAGTTTGACATCATGTCCTGGCTCATGGCATGGCGGCCACTTTGCGAGACCTAAGGTGCCATGTACAGCTTCGCGGCGCTTCTGGTAAGAGCTGCTGTCTTCACCATAGGCTTGGCCGCAACAGTTTGTTTGGAGGTCCTCCCAAATCCTTGGGTTCGGGTGACATTTGCAAGGGAGCTATCCACTGAGCCTGGGACCAGAATTCTGAGGCGTTTGATTCCATCAGGGATTGTGCGTAAGGAGTCATGGAGAGGGGAGGGTGTCTCGGCCTTTCGTGGACTTCAGCCTTGGCCATGTGCCAAGGCAACACCAGCAACCAGCTTTGTGAGTTTGTGTGTGTTGGTTTGGCGCGCTTTCATGTTGGGTCACAGGCTGAGTGTATGGACCCATATACATGTTTGGGGCCCCTGTGGTGGCTGGCTTCATATAATAAGCCAAAACTAGTTCATACATCTAGCCTTTGATTCGGGTCAGCATGATGGGTTCTGAAAGACTGCTTCTGAGGAGCTATCCGGCAAATGATCGCAGCGTAGTTTGTGACCAAAGCGTTGAGCATCCGGGCAGTTATATTCAGGCTTTGGGGTAGGAGCCATTTGTTCTTAGAAGCCACTATTGAACATGTTGCCGCCGAAGCAATGAAGTCGGTATACGGGTTTCAGTTCAGTTCAAGTTGCCTCATGTGTTTCCTCATCACAGCTCGGCCGGCTCGCTTCAGGCAGTACTCACTATGCCTTAGCCGTGAGACGCCGTGCACTTGCTTAGCAGTCAGTGATGCGGCGCTTGCATCGTGTTTGAAGCTGGGAGCCGGACTCCGCCACTGAGCAAGCTGATCACTGGAATGCATTGCACCTGAGCTTTCAGCTATGGGACTGAAACGTCTGAGGCAATTTCCGTGGATCCAATCCACCATACTTTCACGCACTTTTGCACATGTTGACGCTGATTGAAGGCAGGGCGACAGAAAGCCAGGCTGGAGAGGCTGCCTCGTCACTACTCGTTTCGGTGCATGGGCACCAAGGCTACTGTGGCTCCCTTGAGTTCGACGGCAAATTGGTACGTTGGCGATTGGACTTGCCGTGTTCAAACCATGCTTTCAGCTCAGTGCGATGACACTGCTTTGTTTAGTCTTGTTACATGTTGTTGCACATGTTACTGACAGACGTGTAGCTGGAGCTTCAGAGCCAGCTACACCGGGCTCCTTCGAAGAGGCATTTTGGCCATGTTCCCCGGCGAATTTTGACAATGCCCTCAAGGAAGAGTCACTTTCAATTCCTTTTCGGGAGCCCCAAGCAGCCTGTGTCACAAGGCATCAGTGACCATGATGCAGTGTCCAACCGACTGGGCTGACTCGCTGCCATGTGAATTCGTTTGTGAAGAATTCGGCCAAGAGTTTAAGACTTGTTTAACTTTCTCAAGGACTTTGGCACATATTTGGCTGAAGTCAACGTAAGGCAGACAAGAGAGGTGAGTTCTGGAGCAAAGTTTCCGCACAGGAAGTGCCGCTCCGACCAGCCTCGGAGGTTACAGCCAAAGCTTGGAATCGGGCGAGAATTGGGGCAGTCGTGTGCACCTCCGCCTCTCTGAAAGGAGACCGGAGACCACGCAGACGCACAGTTCGGCTTCCTCTTTGTGGCTGTGAGGCCCTGAGAGGCATCGAAGGTGTTCATACCCCATGTGGAGCCACACGACATGTTTGAGTGCTGCTTCCTTAGCAGAGCTTTCCACGCGCCCCACGCGCGCCGGGGTATGAGCAACTTAGCCCAACATGCTCGCGGGTGAGTAGAGCTCGGCAACTGAAACATGAGCCCATTTGGGCCTCCACAAGTGCTTGAGAGCAGTGTATCGGGCACGGTTGTACTGACTGTTTGTCGATAGTAGTTGTTCAGCAGGGGGAAAAAGTTTGAATAAACCCTCACTCCGCCCCTTTCATGGGTTTATTGGACGGGGAATTCACAGTGCGTAGCTCGGACTTGGAGGCCCCAAGCCATGCCAGACACCCATGCATCAGGTGTTGTGGTAGGCCCGGTAGAACCATTGTTGAACAACACCCGCGCAGTTCTTACCACATTGAGACGTGGACACACCATAGTAACCATACTAAGCCAACTTAAGCTTGTTTTTGTTGCCGCGATTCCAGACGCTGGTTTGTCCCCTGGCTGGAACTCGGTTGGCCCACTCCGGGAGAGGGCCAACCCTGGAGGGCCAACGGATGGGCAGCCAAAAATATAGCCCAACGGCAATTTCGCCTCGCCGAACCTCACGTTTCGCAGCGTGGGTCAACTGGAATGGCCATTGGCCGAAATCAACTCAAACCCCATGCTATGAGATCTCAACATACGTTTTGTAAGTTGGTCTGCCCTGGGCACCCGCCCATGATTTTCCCTGTTTTCCTTCCCTCAACCGGATTTTGGAGGGTTACCTGGACAGCCCCCCTTACTACTCTGTCTCCAGTCCTGTCCTGTCCTCTCCGGTCTGCCCCCTGTTTGGCCAATACAACATAAAAGGATGTAGAATAAAGGAAACTGTGTTACCTTAGGGCAGTAGAGTGCCCTGATGAATCGGGAGTTTCATATTATGAGGGGGACTGGCCTTGAAGCGGGCTTGTCGAGCCTGTTTGCCTGAACGTCATGTAATGAATACATTAGCCGTTTCAGGGTCGCTGTTGCTTTTTTGAATTCGGGCAAAGAACGTCCTCAAGACCATGAAGGGAGTTGGCATTGGCAGTAGTATTCGCGGTAGCGCAATTTAAAATTGTTTTTCTGTGTTTCTAAAGGGTGGGGAGGCACACAGCCGTTTTTCATCAGGGAAGCTCTGGTGGCTTCCAGGAATGGGTTAGGGTGTTGTTTGGCCAAACCTTGTGGGCCCCTTCAAGGTAGTATTTGCTGGAAGTCGGGAGGAAAAGGACAGTCTACAACAAGGGGTGGTTTGAAATCAGGGGTCAACATGATTGTTTGCAACAGCCTGTGCGCACTGTTACTAATATTCGCACATATCCGCATGATGTTTCACTGTGTCGACTTCGAACTGGTCGTGTAGTGAGCCCGTTTCAGGAGGATTGCCGACCCACAGACTGCGAGACTGACACTGGTTCGGACATACAGGGCAGTTTTGTTGGCTTTGTAACTCGCCAGGGAGGGCTCACGCAGGATCACTCTTGTGTCCCAAGTGCCCTCCAGGCCATCAAAAAGAATGGCCTGAACGTCAGGATTTATGTGCAGGACGTACTCGATGCTTCGAGCAGGGTGTTTCACGTTTGAATCTCTAAATGGTTCCCGCAGCAGTTCTTAGGTGCGCCGCGGTCGCAAGCTGCAGCAGCCAGATGGCGGACATGCATCCACATTGCATCAGTTTCAGTGGCAACAATGAGACTTTGTGTTTCAACATTTGGGTGTGGGTCAAATTCAACCACCAGGGTTCCATTTTTTGACCCACACCCATTTGGTCAGGCCAAACAGTTGTGACATTTCCGTGGGTGCCAGGCCATGGCAATCGGTATCTTCACTCTTACAACTTGTGCTTGGCCTGGTGCGCTAGCATGCGTTTCTGGCAGCGCTGTTCCAGATAAAAAGCAAGGCTGAATTGAGTTTGGGCCGATGCTGTCTGCACCGGCCAAGCAGACGCTCAGACCACATGTGCTGCATGTTTGTGCATATTTGCAGATTGAGTGAATGAGTGAGTGTGTGGGCGTGAGTGGGTGGGGCAGTGCATTGTATACACGCACTTGCGCGCGCCCGTGCGTGTGTGCGTGCGATTGCGTGCGTGCGGGCGGGCGTGTTTGTGTTTGTGTTTGTGTTTGTGTATGTGTGCGTGCGGGTGTGGGTGTGGGTGTGGGTGTGGGTGTGGGTGTGGGTGTGGGTGTGGGGGGGGGGGTAGAGCCTTGCTCCGGCCAACGACACTTGTTTCCCGCATGGGCCAAGGCTGACGTGTTTTGCCGCAGCCTGGCAGGCTCACTGTTGGCCCGGCATCCCGGGCTTGCTCTGGGGTTCGTCAGACAGACAAAGCTCTCTCTAGCATTGGCTGTTTTGTCTGTTTTGTTTACATTTAAATGCCTGTCTATATGAATTTGTATTGAGTCAGATGAATTCAACCCTCGTTTAGTTCACCCACCCACCCACCCACCCACCCACCCACCCACCCACCCACCCACCCACCCACCCACCCACCCACCCACCCACCCACCCACCCACCCACCCACCCACCCACCCACCCACCCACCCACCCACCCACCCACCCACCCACCCACCCACCCACCCACCCACCCACCCACCCACCCACCCACCCACCCACCCACCCACCCACCCACCCACCCACCCACCCACCCACCCACCCACCCACCCACCCACCCACCCACCCACCCACCCACACTCTGATTGGTGCAGACTGACATTGCTGCATTCCGGGTCCAACATTATTTCCTGTCTCCCTGGTGGATACAATTTTTGGCAATCTTATGAGCGTAGACATGCTGAATCTCACCCGATAATTTAGCTTTAGGTTTTGACCAACGACCAACAAGTGAATACACGACAGGCCATCAGAGTCTCATTCCCTCTGATTTTAAACTTTGGTTTATTATTTTTTTCCATGTTGGGAGATTCAAAAATCACTCAGGCCGTGCTCAGATTTGTTTGCTGTTGGCGATGTCTTTGACGTGACCAAACTGAACCCTGAGGAGCACCAATCGCAGTATTTGTTTTGCCTCACTCCGCGTGTTTCTGGAGGTTATACGGTTCTGGCGAGACGCAAAGCGAAGGTTTGACTTTTTTGGCCGACCCACTCCAGTGACTTGAGGACTTGGACCTCAGCTTCGTCGGTTGCTTGGAGTTCCGGCACCTCGGAGGCGCAGTTTTTTTGTGCGCGGCGGGGACACACCTCTGATGGTGCTGCCTAATCTTGCAGCAGGGCTCTCACTAAGCAATTGCTTGAGCCCCCACGTCCAAAATCGAGCAGTGGAAGCTTTGCATTCTCAAATTGGCACACGTGTCCGAATTCAACTGAGAAAGGGTAAACATGTTCTGCAACTCTCGCCTGTTTTTTTCTTTGCAAACGACTGGCATGCGGAGCCGGCCTTTGTCTCGCTGTCGCGGAGGTGGAAGCAGCTCAGCATCCTCGCCAGGCTACGATGTCAAGACATAATTGGTGCTTTCCTTTCCATTCAAGAAAGCCGATCACCGAAACCAAAATTATTTCGATGAGAATGTGTTTTCCGAACATGTCGGGCTTCAACAAGCTTCCAGAGATTGACGTGCTGGGGCGCGGTAACCCATGGAATGCCACCAAGGATGGGTTTCTACAGCTCTTGAAGACACTCCTTGCAGACCCAAATGTCCGTTGGCCGTGTCAAGGGTTATTGGCCCTATGGCATGGTGCGGGCAACCCGCTACCATCCACAGGGACTGAACACCCATAATGTCGATGTTTGCTTTTCTCCTCAAAACATTATGCGGCAGATTATGTGATCAATACAGCTAGGTTGATGAACGAGTCGCATGGGTTGAGGGAACCTGCCCTTGCTATGGCTGCGAATGCCCGGAGCAACCGCAATGCACTGGAATTTTGTCCAGATAATGTGATACAATTGGTTGTTTTATCTAGCGCTTAGTTTACGCTCGTGAGTGCTTTGTCTTCACATGTTTTGCTGATTTTTGTCAGACCTTCCAGTTGTTGATGTGCATGCATGTTTGTGTGTGTGGGTGTGTTTGCTTGCTTGCCTGCTTGCTTGCTTGCCCGCTTGCTTGCTTGCCTGCTTGCTTTGCTTTGCTTTGCTTTGCTTTGCTTTGCTTTGCTTTGCTTTGCTTTGCTTTGCTTTGCTTGCTTGCTTTGCTTTGCTTTGCTTTGCTTTGCTTTGCTTTGCTTTGCTTTGATTTGCTTGCTTGCTTGCTTGCTTTGCTTGTTTGCTTGCTTTCTTTGCATTGCTTTCTTGCTTGCTTGTTTTGCCTGCTTTGCTTGCTTTGCTTTGCTTTGCTTACTTTGCCTGCCTTTCTTGCCTTATTTGCTTTGCTGGCTGGCTGGGCTTGACTTGGCTTGCTTTGCTTGCTTTGCTTGCCTTGCTTGGCTTGCTTTGCCTTGCTTGCCTTGCTTGCCTTGCTTGCTGGCTTGGCTTGCTTCCTTGCTTGTTTGCGTGTTGGTTTGTTAGCTTGTTTGTTTGTTTGTTTGTTGTTTGTTTGTTTGTTTGTTGGTGTTGCCTTGTTTTGTTTTGATTTTTCTTTGTTTTGTTTTGTGTTGTTTGTGTTGTTTGTGTTGTTGGCTTGCTTGCTTGTTTGCTTGCTTGCCTGCTTGTTTGCTTACTGGTCTGTTTACTTTCTTGCTTGCTTGCCTTGCCTTATTTATTGCCTGCTTTCTTGCTTGGTTGGATTGCTTGCTTGCTTGTTGGTCTAGAGTTTGTTTGTTTGTTTGTTTGTCTGTTTGTGTATTTGTTTGATTGCTTGCTTGCTTGATTGTTTCTCTGTTTTGTTTGGTTGCTTGTTTGGTTCATTGCTTTGTTTTGTTCGATGTCTGTTTCGCTTGATTGTGTATTTGATAGCGTTTTGTGGTTGGTTTGCTTGCTTGCGTGCCTGGTTTGTTTGTTTTGGTCGGCTGGTTGTGGGCTTCACGCGAAGCCCCGAGGTGGCTGCTGCCTGCCGGGCCTGCGGAGCCTTCAGAGCCTCAAGGCGTGAAAGGGCACTTAGGCTCCGGGGCTCTGGCCTTCCGTTTGCTGTCATGATTTTGACAGTTTCTGAAGGTTATCAAAGTCGGAAAATGTGGTTGTTGTCCTTCAACCCACCACTCAGGAGGTGACTTTGATTATGGTAAAATAGTGAAGTCAGTCCTTTTCACATGGAACCTGACGTTCGGGACCTGGTTCCTTTAAAAGAAAATGGCTCAAACCAGGACCGCTTCCCCGAACGTTAGGTTCCATGTTATAATTGGTGGCAGGGGAATTGACAGACACATTCGCAGCCCGTTCTTGTGGACTGTTCTTTGCCGGAATATGGTGGCGGCCCCTGGCTCTTACCGAGGGTAAATGGCCATCTCCTGGCTTCCCTACCGCCAATTGGTGGGAAACTGAGTTTTTGATTGTTTTGGGTTGGCTTCAGAGGGAAACCAAAAGGAAACCACCCATTTTGGTGGGTCCACCCACCCATTTGAGACGAGAGACCCGTCAAGAAGGTCGTTCACGAGTGACCATCGCAGTGTGCAAAAAGGGAAGTAGTTTTCCAAAGCCCTCCTGTGAGCTTCCATTCTTGGAAATAGCACAACTCGCGACTTCACGCTGACTGACTGATGGTCCCAATCCAAATATTGTGCGGAAAGGCTTTTACCACCCTTTGTGCTGCACTCGGCATCTTCCATGGTGGGGGGTCTCAAAAAATCAAATGTTAAACCTGGTGGTCGGTTTTACTCCAATGAGTACCTCAAACAACATGATCGTTTGGTGTCCGAGTGAGCGGGCAGTTTTTTTGCCCGGGCCACAGTCCACAGGGACTGTTGCTGGTGTGAAGGAAACCTGCCACAGCAAGGTTGAACAACAGATGCAAGCAGTCTTTTAGGGGCGATTTGGCCAAATGGTGCTGGGTATGATTTGTTGTTTCATTCAAGGGTATCTAGACAAAGCCCAAGCGAACACCCACCTTAAGCCTCAAGCTGCAGTTTGCCTTGGCAACCACTTGCGTGTTGTGCGACTATTCATTCGGCGAGTTGGGGGAAAACAGGTCAGTCAGAAACTACTTGTGACATTTGCTTGCAGACATGCGGACAATCCCTTGCATAGCTGCCATGTCATTTTGGCACGGGTATAATTTGCTTACATGCTGTCTTTGATTCATTGTCGTGCCGGAAACGGCAATGAACGTGTCGTGTTTGTAAGCTTCCCATCAGATCCCAGGTCCAGGTTTGATTTGAGTGCACTTCATGGCCCGACTTCATGGCCCAGGCGTTCATTGCTCGCATCCCTATGCTACTTGCCCAGGTGGATGCCAGTGGATGCACTAGCCCGCAGCTAGGAGGGCTTCAGTTCAGTGTCGGCGTTTAAGGGCTGGTCCTTGGGAGAAGTGTCGAATCGAGACACCCAAGTTCACGGAGCGGTGGATAGAATTGAAGAGGTACATAGTGGTCCGTCCGTCATTGATCGCGGGGTTGCATATTTGGCGGAGTTCCGTTCTTCCAGAGAACCCTTGAGTTCGTAACAAGGCGGGCTCGTTCCTGTACTCAGGGATAAGCACTGCAGCTGAAAAGGCTGATCAAGATCGAATTGAGATATTTGTTTTGAGGTCAAGAGGAAATCCTAGAGATCCTTTGGCCCAACCTCTAGTTCTGGCCATGGCTTGCCTGTCATCAAATGTTGCATTGACCGTGGCCATGTGCCACTGACGCCCATTTGCAAGTGTGAGAGAGGGAAACAAGGATGACCAGCCTGAAAGTTGCCCGCATAGGCACTTTTCGCCGCTTGGCAACGAAGCAGAGCATCAACCACAACTCCGCATTGGAAGTCTTGGCCCTGTACCACTTGGAACACGTAGAGCATGTAGACAGATTCCCAGGTTGACCCCAACCCTGAAAGGAATGGCCGGGGGTTCAAAAGGAAACATGAGCTGAACTATGCAAGTTGCCACTTGCTGTCTGAGGCCTTTCCTCCATTGATGTCCTTTCAGAGGAGATGCAGGCGGGTTGGCCACTACAAGTTCGTCAGCCTTGATTCTTGGTTCAGAGCAGCTAATCTGTGCGATGTCAGTGAACGTAGGATAGCCGATTTAGCAGGGCATGATGGACAGTGCTTCTTGTGGTTGCATTGCAATTCCCGAAAGAACGATACATAGATAAGAGGTGCCTGCTGGCGCCAAGCTTCAAGCTGGCCGCCAGGCATCAGCTGAACTAAAAAAGCTTGCAATCCTGTCGGAAAAGATGTATCCTCGAGGATTGCCGCGGCCAAGTAATTCAAAACGAGCGCGGTGGATTTTCACCGAGCCTCGGTTGGGGCTAGGGAAGCCCTCAAGCTCAAGGCTTGAAAGGCCTGCCTGCTTTTGCGGACCAATCCTACCTTGCTGGTTCTCAGGAGGGAATGAGGGAATGCCCCCTATAAACAATCCCCTATAATTTCCTACGGAATCCCTAGGTTCATTCCCAACCCCCTGGGTCATTCCCTATGTCTGGGAAAATGGCTGTGGCTTTAGTTGCTCCGCTCCTGTTTGGTTCGGTTTGCTTGCTTGACGCAAAGCGGAGAGGCAACTTTTGAAGAAGCCCTTCATCCGTGGTAGCGCAGCTGCGACTTTCCCAACATCAGACCTTGACACGCCTTCATGATGTTCCCCAAGAGAGCTAGGAGTGGACTATGGAAGTCGGGTCCACTCATCTGGCAAATTACCTCTCAGGTGCCAGAAAATGATCCCGCCCTTGCAACTGCTGGCAAGGACTCCAAAACGCAACAAAGATCTGGATGCATCCCTTCCCTGGAGGCCTTGATGACGATCCAGCTCCGACTGGCGGATTGCTTCCTGCTCACATCCTTGGAGGAGCTAACCAGGTGCCCCCAGCTGTGTCGTGTGTGAAGTGCTTGGGGCCGCGTTTGGACGGCTAGCGTGGTACTGTGGGCGATGGTTGTAAACATGTCGTGTTGGCGGTCTGGCAGCTAGCTTTGTTTTCCCATTCAGGCATCATTTTGTGAGGGTGCAGTTGCCATCTCGGATGAGTCGAGTGGCATCAAAGAATGTCCTTCATCCCAAATTAGCAGAACCCGACACCCCCTTAGTGTGCTGTTTATCCACTCCTCCTAGTCAAAGTTCAGGACGGCTGGCACTATCCACTTGGGCCATGGCAGTTGCTCGCCGAACAGGCAAGCCTTTGGCTGTTGCCTTGTCATTTCTCCACACTTCCATTTCAATGTTGCCGGGAGTTTGCTACGAGGGTACCACTACCACGACAGCGTTGTCGGAAGACCCGCCTTGCCTCGGTTTCCACGGCGCCCTTGCACATCCTGAAAAGCAAAAGGCGCCATAGACCCAAATACCCATCCTTATGCGGAAGGATTTGACTGAGGGCATTCGCCATGTCCGCTTGCAGCTTTGCCAGGCCCTTGGGCAGCCTTCCGCACATCAAGGCACCTCGCATTCTGGTTTCAAGTTTCGATGTGCTTCCGGATTCCCTGGCTGGGCAAGAACTGTTCCCGAAATGAATCAGAAACAACGGCCCCAAGCATCAATCAACAAAGTGGTGTTTCATTTCCGGCAATCCGAAGACTGTTGCCCACAATCATATCAAGAGCTGCTTTGTTGTGATGACCTATTCTTTGGACTTGGATGGCAACGGTCCTGTTGATTGGAGACTCACGGGGTTATTCGAAATCTAACGGCAGAAAAGTGTGGCTTGGTATTATTATGTCCCTCCTTGGGCACATCACACATGATGCAAAGGGACCGCGAAGGGAAGCAACGGCCTTTGTTAAGGCTGATTAGGGCGCGAATCAGAGAATCAGCTAATGTTTGAGTATGTCTCGCTCATGGGCCCATGAACGGAGCGCAAAGGGCCGGCGACAGGGTTTGGGGTCTTTGTTTTGAAAGACCTTTTGTGTTGCTGCATCTCGCGCCTTGTGATTCGTAGAAGCCTGTTGCGCCAGCTGCACCAGGGCATCTCAGCCGATTTGTTAAGAGATGCTTCTTAATTGAGGAGTGCACACACTTCCCAGCCACAACTTACCAAATAAAGCTTCAACCAAGCTGCCAATCATCAAAAGTAGTTTTATGTAGGGGGACCGAGTTGGTCATGTCATACGTGAGACAAAACGAGTACTCTGTCTTTTTGATTCCTGCATCCGTCAAATCGTCCCTTGTGGCACACCCACATAGCCTTTAGCTCTACTGTCGACCCGGCAAATAAATCAGCCCAGGCGGTACTGCATACCCAACATTCACCAGCCCCAGAGGCTTCCAGAACCCTCCGGGACTGCCTGAAGCCTGCTCGGAGCAATCCCAGAGCTTCTTTGGGCAGAGACCCCAAGGCTTTGAGCTGTTGGGGAACAAACACTGCAAGAAGATGCTGCTGGATTACCAGGGCAGTGTCCCCCCCCAGGAGAGGGGAAAAAAAGGAAGAAAACAAACAGAAAGCAGGATTCCCTCTGAACCGCGACCCCCCGAAAAACGGGTGAAGCCATGACTCCGCTCGCTTTGCTTTCAGGCGCTGGAGCTGAGCCTGCCGGGCTGCTGCTCCCTTAGGAGAGCCCCAGTTCCTCCGAATTTCCGGGTGGAATAACCACCTAAGAAGCTATGGGAAACCACTGTTTGTTGGTATTTACAGAGAATCAAACCATTCCAGGGCTTCTTAGGTGGTGCAGGATTTCGTCCATCCACAGTATTGAGGGCTCTACTCTTACGTACCCCGTGAAAAAAAAACGCGCACTTGCTTCTTTTGTTGTTTTGTGTTTGGTTGTTGGCCTCACTCAATGTTATGCTCGGGGCGTTCAGTTGATTGCTTGAATCGGCGGCTCAGTATTTCGGCAGCCCTATAATATGAGAAAGTGTTGTTTCATGGACATGTTTAACGAGACTGCCTTTAATGAATGTGTGATGCATGTTATTCCATATGGCCATCCGTTCCGCTTCGCGGTTTTTCTTTTAACACATTTCAATGAGAAGTCGAGTGTTCACGAATTCAGTTCTCTTATATTTACCACTGGAGCCTTGGTTTCCATCTCGCGGATGGGAGTTGTTGTGCGAAATTGATCATAATTAGGGTGCAACCAATCACGTGGGAAGGGCGTGGTTGTGTTGACGATATTTGTATACATGATTTCAGTGGTGTCGAGACCCTTTACGTGTTTGTGCCATTTATGCTGTCCAAGGTGCCAAGTAGCAGCGAGAATACATTCCAGCATAATCGGGTGACAGCGAGCCATGTTCAAAGAGCAATATAGACGCTGTAGCTGGGTTTTGCCCAACACGGGAAACTAATTACAACACACTTGACCTCAAGTGCGCTCCAAGTTTTGCACTAGATACTTTGCTTCTAACATGATGCTGGTCTCATCCTTTCGTCTGTGGTTTGTCCGGATATCATCTCCACTGACCAGCAGCAAAATCCCCAGTTGTTGCGATGCGGAAGATCTGCGGCCAGGAGCCTGGGATCCCTGAGCAGCCACCTGCGAGAGCTCAGGGTGGGGAGGGTTGGGCGGGCGCGGTCGATGCAAGCCTCAGGCCCTGGCTTTAGGACAGGGACTGCGAACCTGGTGCCTTTTGTTGTTTTCCAAACAGGTGCCTCTCTCTCGCCTGGTGGTTTCCAACTTGGTTTGTGGTTTTGAAATTTTGCACGCTTGTTACGGAGACTCTGGTAGATGAGTTGACCTTAGTGCGCCTTTGCCTTCTGATTGCCAGAGCTACGCATGACACTCCCCTACCAAATGCGCAATTGGCTTCACGGACCCCTCGGGGTCAGCAATTGGCAGCGCCGCTTTGTGACTGCCGCGCCATCCAAGAGCCAATTGGTTGTTGTACCGGTCAACTTGTTCGGCTCTTGCTTGGCGTTTTGATCATCAAGAGTTGCTTCTTGGGGACCACGTCAAGGGAAGTGGATCATGGTGCTTTGTGCTTGGACTTGGCCGTTTCGGCTGCCAAGGCTTTGCCTCATGAGCAGGATCGACCCTAAAAGGGCCGGCGGGATGTGCAGCCTGCTTGTAGACATGAGAATGTAATCCCTTCCCCCTAAACATGACTGGGCCCCTCTGATGAAAATGAGGTTTGCACAAAACATATGTTTATTACTAGGGGGCCCGCCCATGAGTGCGTGGTTCATGACAATCAGATATCTTTGGTTCTAATCTAAAGTACTCCTTCCTTGCACCGCAGAAAAGAACGCCCAGGATGCAACTTGTTTGAGTAAGGGATTTAAACAGTTCAAGTTGGGGCGACACCTGTGGGTCTGAAGGGATGTTTGTAGTTTTCCGGGAACCCCGAATACGGCTGGAGTTGGGGACCGTAGGGAAATCAGAGTTTTAGTGTTGATTTCAATGTGGCTATTCTAAATTAGTATTCCCGGACCTGGGATTTTGTGTTTGCGAATTTTGGAACACATTCTTAGGGGAATTGTTCCATTGCTAGGAAGAATCAAGGGAATAAACAGGTCCCCGACTTGTCGCCAAGGCGGCAGGCAACACTGGCACGCTAGTCAGGTGCAACAGCATGCTTTAGCAACGCAGAGCTTCCCCGACAGGCTTTGCCACATTGACCTGAAACAAGACAACAACAAGACGGGTGTGAATGGATTCCTGGACACGTGCTGGTTCAGCATCATGGATGCCGTGGCGGGAAATCGGCTCATCCATTGGTTTGCCTAGTCCCAAGCTGAGCCGCAGGCTCTTGAGAGGCTTCGACTAAACCTGCGCCTTGGGCGGAAAAGTTGAGGGAGGGGCGGGGTTGAAGGCTGCAGCCAAGAGCAGTTTTGATGCTGAAAGTCACCCCCGTGGCTTTCTTGCAAAAACTAGAGCCGAGGGCCCATGCAACGCCCCCACTGCTTGTAGCTTTCTCCGCTTTTATTTGGGATCACACGGGACGGAAAGGAGGCAAACCGACGAAACATATGCAGATTGACAGTCCGGCTTTGGGGTTCTGGGGCTTTCGGTGCACCTCAGCCCTCAATCACTTCTGCTGTTTGTAGATTGGAAGCAACCTTTGATTCGTAGCTTCCGTATTTTATATAACTGATCCTTGCTGTATTATTGGTTGCTTTTCTGCAGGTTGTTGCAAAATATGGCCGGTAGAGATATGTAGTAGCGACCCCTCCTTTAAACTATTTTTACTGGAGTGGTGGGCAGAAATGCAATCAAGCATCACCTTGTGGGATGCAGGTGTATTTGGCACTAGATTTGTGTCTTGGACTTCAAGGTAGTTGCCTCATGCGGCAAGCTCTGGAAGAAAGGGGGTCATTGCTTGAGCGGAACTGTTTCTAGAGTCAACTGGATCATTACCTGAATGGGGGTTGTAGGAGGTTTGAGCGAGTTACTGCTTGCCTCAGGACTCCAAATGCGCAATATGACAGTTGCATTTCGTGGCGCAAGCGGGGTGATCTTGCTTTCCCGGACTCAAGGGTAGCCACATGAGCGAGAATGTGTGAAGCAAACGAGTCTTTCTTGAGCAGGGCCTTGCGGTATCTTCCGAAAGGTGGGAGGGTGGGGAAGTTATTTGATCAATGACGGTCTCTCAAAGTTGGAGGCTTTGTGCTGTATTTTTCAGCGGACAACATGCTACCATTACTCGGCGGGTCAAAGAGAACCCCCTTTGTTCTATGGCACTACGCAACTCAGTGTTGGGATTCGAACTCACTGCTGGCTGTCTATCTGCGGTCTCTGTGGCGCTGTGGCATGTTCCCGAAACCTGGCCCTGATGTGTTGTACTCAACGCGTGACACTGAGCCACCCTCAACGCGCTACGCCAATCCGAGTCATCTCAGCCCCACGCCCCAGCGAGGTCGGCTTGTGAGAGTCTTGAGGCATGGGATCCAGACGAGAGCGGGCGGCAGGGTCGGGTTTACGCATCCATCACGCGCAGAAGCCAGGGCATGCCATATGTTGGGTGCCAATGTTCCCTCAACAAATTCCCGTGGAGAGAAGCAGGTTTGTTGATTCAGGCCCCGCTAGTCCAGTTTGGGCTGCCAACTCCAGAATTTTGCCACGGGTGTGTACAGTAGGTCCGGCCACGCTGATTTGAATGCTCAGACAGGGTCTTCCAACACAACTGGATCCCTAACTAATGCGACTGGGCGCAAAGGTTTTGCGAACACGACTGGCTAGTATTGGTTCAGAAATCTACCGCTAATTTAGTACTGCGGGACGCTTTTCTGATTTTGGAAAAATCAACATGTCATTGTTTGGTTGGGGAGAAGGTTCGGAAGGGGTTCTTGTAACCCCTTCCCTTCTCCCATCAAAAGGCACCACACCTCCCCCCCACCCCTGAGGGGGGAAGGTTCGGAAGGGGTTACTGTTGGACCTTGTTTACGAAGGTCCACCCAGCGGGTTGCTTCCTTCAGCCTGAAGCGCTGGAAACCGCGCCGCAGGCAGAGGCCTGCGCGGGGCTGCAGGACTTCTTGGCCGCGGTTTCCGAGGCGTTGCGGCCCAGAGTTGGGTCCTGTGAGGGAGCCGTGTGGCGCACAGGTATTGGCTCAGACCAGTCCACATGTCTAGGTGTCCATGTTAGGTCGGTTTGCTTTGATAGCAGTGCTTCAGCTTGTTTTTAGTCATGAAGCAGCGCCATCTAGCAACTGGGGGTGAGGAGGTCAATGCTAGGCGAGATGCCTGGCAGTTTTCAGCCGACGTGCTTTTCTGCAAGAACATGAGCTTTAGGGCTCGAAAGATGACGGAGACTCTGTGTTTGCGGCAAGTAGGAAACATACTTCAATCCTTCCATGTGTAACAGTGCCATGCGCACCACCCATTCTGAGTTGCAATTAGATATCAGAGTAGAGTGATGGTTTTGCCTCGCATGCCATCCAGACGTGTAACTGTTTATCCCTTTCCAACTTGACAGTGGCCATCATGTTCTAACTTGACTGATGGCCAAAGAGGTCTGCGGGAGTCACTCCGCATCAGATGTGGCATTTGTTTCGTCTTTCTCGAGAGGCGTGCAACAGAGCCGATCGAACATTCACCGCATACTCCGTTGCATACCCTCATCACATGGCTCGTTGCAAACACCGTTACATACGTTAAGGAACACAACCATTTGGCTGAGCTTCAGAGCAGACCTTTGCAAAACATGCTTTCATGTTGCATACGTGTGCAACCAGATTTGCGGAGAGCTTGCCCTTTCAGAAGAGCAAGTCTCGGGCGAACAGGTAGGAGCCCTTGGTTTGTGCTGCAATTACCTCATTCCACATCCCACCCCAGCCCTGGTCTGGCGACCGCTTCTTTTCCGCTGCCGGGCTTGCGCTGAATATCCGCTTTCAAGCTGGAACTTCCGAGGTGCGCTTTGGATACTGCGCTTGTACTGACTAGCTTCGACTTTCGATCCGGAGCTGCGTGGGAACTACATACTTGTTTTTTTGTTACGAAGAGGTTGCTGCTTTCGAGCTGAACCTACAGAAGTGTCACGCCCCGTTTTCCCGCTAGACACCCAGTTAACAAGGGCTCGCATTAACACAGTGAAAGGATAGGTCCGTCTTAACTCGCGCGTGGGCTTCCCTCAAGAAAGCCTCCTCATGTCAAAAAAACTCATGGTATCACTTTCTACACCACGGGTGTTGGTGTTATTTTTCCAATCAGCTCATGTTGGCTATGCTCTTTTGCTTTAGCGGCAGAAAGGGAAATTGGCTCCTTTTGCACCTGCTGTCACGGCCGCCGTTTCATGTGTCTTCGGCATTCTGGCGTCCACAGGAAGTGGATCTCCTTGTGGTGGGCGAGCCGCTGGAAGGACACGCATTGGGCACACCGACGGTGGATGCATTTGCTTGATTTCACCCTAGGCTTTGCAAGTCCGAAAATCGGATCATCTTGTTTTAGCACGTTTGGGGTTAGGAGGCTGAAGTAGGCATAGATTAATTTGCTTGATTTCACCCTAGGCTTTGCAAGTCCGAAAATCGGGTCATCTTGTTTTAGCACGTTTGGGGTTAGGAGGCTGAAGTAGGCATAGATTAATTTGCTTGATTTCACCCTAGGCAAGTTCTCATCTTGTTTTAGCACGTTTGGGGTTAGGAGGCTGAAGTAGGCATAGATTAATTTGCTTGATTTCACCCTAGGCTTTGCAAGTCCGAAAATCGGATCATCTTGTTTTAGCACGTTTGGGGTTAGGAGGCTGAAGTAGGCATAGATTAATTTGCTTGATTTCACCCTAGGCTTTGCAAGTCCGAAAATCGGATCATCTTGTTTTAGCACGTTTGGGGTTAGGAGGCTGAAGTAGGCATAGATTAATTTGCTTGATTTCACCCTAGGCTTTGCAAGTCCGAAAATCGGATCATCTTGTTTTAGCACGTTTGGGGTTAGGAGGCTGAAGTAGGCATAGATTAATTTGCTTGATTTCACCCTAGGCTTTGCAAGTCCAAAAATCGGATCATCTTGTTTTAGCACGTTTGGGGTTAGGAGGCTGAAGTAGGCATAGATTAATTTGCTTGATTTCACCCTAGGCTTTGCAAGTCCAAAAATCGGATTATCTTGTTTTAGCACGTTTGGGG